ATGTTGCTGTGCTGCGGCTCCGCGTCACGGCGCATTAGTGCTTTTATTACTTCGGCTGCTTCCCTGTTTACTTACGCACCATGCAGGCATGGATGCGGTCCCGGGGTGAGACTGCTGGCAAGGTATTCACCGCGGAGACGGTTGCGGAGCAGTTTGGGGTCGCACGGCAGTCGTACGACACCGTACCGCTGCCCAAGGGGGACATCCTGCAGGTACGGCAATTGCTGTTGGATTCGAACTACCACAGCCAGCTGTCATATTACCCTGCTGTGTTGTACCGCTCGTGTTGGAACACATGGCCCTGCCGCACCAAAAGCCTAACCGGCTTTCATGGAACTTCATTCAGCGAACCCCTTGCCTACCGGTAGTCTCTTGTACGGTAATCCACGGGTCGCCGAAACAATAGTTCCGTCAACTGCCAACCACCAACTGCCAACCGCCAACTGCCACAGGTGCTGTGCCGTGGATCCGGGCCCAAGGTGGCTGATTCGCTGGTCCTGCAGGCCACTCCGCTGCCTGCTGAGCTGGAGTGGGGCCAAGTGCTGGTGGCCATGAGGTGAGAAAGCAAGTATAAGGTGGATAAGTAGTGCCGTACCCTGGCGTACGACTTGTGCACCGCATGTCTCCAACAAGATGTTCTGTCGGATGCCTGCCTAGCTTTGATCAAGAGGTACGGTGCTATCGTACATGCCGATGCTGTAAGGGCTGCTGTTATTGCTGCTGCTGCTGCCTCCTCCTCCCCAGGTTTGCGCCGGTCAACGCGGCGGACACCTACACCGCCAGGCTGGGAGGGGTGTACGGCAGCGATACGGCACCCAAGCTGCCGTACGTGGTGGGGCACGACGGAGTGGGCGTGGTGGCCAAGGTGAGGCTGAGGGGGCGTGAGGGGCCGTGAGGGAGTTTATACTTGCTTAATAAGGGTAACTCGATAGCTCCCACCTTGGCGCTTGCTGCCCGCAACCCTCCGACACCCTACTAACATACGCACCGTGTACCGGTATACCGGTATAGCCAGCTCCCCGCGAATCCCCTCGCAGCCCGCACAACCTCTCCCTACGCCCCTACTTCAGACCCGTGCCTGAATAACCATTTTAGATACCCCCACACCCTCCCTCCCTCCCTTGCTCCCCCCTCCCTCTCCCCTTCACCCCTCTCCAGGTAGGGCCCGGCGTCAAGTCGCTGTCCGAGGGTGACCTGGTGCTGCCGCTGCGCCCCTTCGCCGGCACCTGGGCCTCCGCTGCCGCCTGGCAGGAGCGGGAGCTGCTCAAGCTGCCGCAGGTGAGGGGGGAAAAAGAAGAATACCCAATGTGTTAAATGAGGATGGCAAACAAGATGACAAGATCAGTGGGGTGAGGTGGGGGCAGGGGTGGGGGTGCTTCCCACAACGGCCCCCGCTCGGGCCCCATGGTTAGGTACGCTTCCTCCTCGGCCCCCCCATGGCTCCACCTCGGCCTCCGCTGTTCCCATCTTGTCCAACCCCTGGTCCCCTCCTGTTCCCCTTCCTGCCTCCTGTTCCCCCTCCTGCCCCCCACCGTTTCCTGCCTCCTGGCCCCTCATCCTCCTGTCCTCCTTCCCGCCTCCCCCCCTTCTTCCCCCCTCCAGGACGGCTACGGTCTGCCCCCCGAGTACCTGGCCATGAGTCGGGAGCTGGCACTCGCGTACCTGCTGCTGGAGCAGGGGGGGCTCAAGGTGGGGGTGGGGGGAGGTGGGAGGTGAGAAGAAGATTGACCACGCCTACCCCACTCTGGCCCTCGTTTCCCCTCCTTGCTCCTTCCGCTGTCTTCCCCTGCATGCCCTCTATCTGCGCCCTTCCCCGTATGCATGCATGTTTCCTGCTGCCCTTCTCCCCCCTCCTTACATGTTGCAAGCCAAGATGACGCCTTATCACACGGTTCGCCTGTCGTTTTCCTCGTTCCCCCCCTCCTCCCACTTCCTCCCCCTCCCCCCCCAGCCCGGTGACGCGGTGATCCTGAACGCCGCCAGCAGCAGTGTGGGCCAGGTGCTGCTGCAGCTGGCCAGGCTGCTGAGGCTGCGGGCGGTGGCGGTGGTGAGACCGCCCGCCGAGGGAGAGGGGGAGCAGCAGCCGGAGGGGGAGGGACAGGGGGAGAAGAAGGCAGCAGTGAATGGCGCTAGCAGCGGCGGCAAGGGCGGCAAGAGCGGCAAGGGTGGCAGCAGCGGCAGCGGCGGCAGCAAGTGGGAGCGCACGGTGGCCTGGTTGCGTGGTCTGGGTGCGGCGGAGGTGCTGCGGGACGAGGGATCGCTCAGGGTGAGGGGGGGGATGAGGGGGGGGGGGCCCGGGGCGGCGGACATGGCTGCTGGGTTCTTACATGGGTGCTGACCCCCGCGTGTGGGGGTGAGCGCAGCCGGGTAAGCGGGCTGCGTGTGGGGGTAATAAGCTGGGGAGGGAGGTTCGGGGCATTGGACAATATATAGGGCAGGGTGCTAGTAAGTTTGGATGGCTAGGGTGCTCCCGGTGCAGGTAGGACCCCTAGCCCTACCCCTGTCAGCCCCTTAGCCCCTTAACCATCCGCACCGCCGCCGTGTGCTCTGCCCCGCCCACGCACGGCCCATCTCAGGTGGAGTTGGACCGGCTGCGTTTCTTCGCTCGGCCCCGGCTGGCGCTGGATGCGGTGGGGGGCGAGTCGGCGATGAGGCTGGCGGAGGCGCTGGCGGAGGTGAGGGCGGGGCGGGCGGGGCGGTGGGGGCCGGTGGGAGGCGGTGGGGCGGCAGGGGAACGGATGATGTACGATGCGATTGACAGCAGTCGGGAGAAGCCTTGCACTGCACAAGAGCTGCTTACGCCTCCACACCTCCTGCTCCCTCCTCCCCCTTTGCTTTGCCCTAACCTGTGGCTTCTTATAGTATGGTATTGTCTTTGACTCCCCCGGGTATTCTTCTTTCCCTCCCCCCCGGGGCCCCTCAGGGTGGCGAGTTGGTGGTGTACGGCTGCATGAGCGGCCGCGCGCCGCTGCTGCCCTGGCAGTCCTGGGTGTTCCGCGACCTGCGGGTGCGCGGGTTCAATATGCGCCGCTGGCTGGCGGCAGGCGGCGGCGGGGCGCGGGGAGGCGGGCCGGCTCGGCTGCTGGGTCGGGTGCTTGGGGAGATGGGGCGGCTGGTGGGGGCGGGGCTGCTGGCGGTGGAGTATACGGAGTGAGTGGGGGTCGGGGCTGGGTCGTTTAGTTGGGGGGAAGGGGGTGGGCTGGGGGCATGCGGGGGGTATTTCGGGCGGGACACAAGGTGCGCATACGGTGGTGCTTGCGCACATTCCGTATCACATATCCAAGAGCGAGCTGCTCGTCTTGGTCAACGGTTTGGGTGCCGGGTGAGGAAGCTGAGGGTACCGTAAGCAAGGCGCCCCACAATCATTAAACGTACGCCCTCCCCTATCACCAGTGACTAAATAATTTCATCCGATGATTCTTCCAATCATCGGCACCCAGGTACGACATCACGGAGTGGGAGGAGGCGCTGGAGCATGCGCAGGAGCGCGGTAAGGCCACCAAGGTCATCCTCAAGATGAGCGGCGACCCATGGGTCATGACCAGCACCGCCGCCGCCAACAGCAGCAGCAGTAGCACACCTGGCTTCCTGAAGCCCCGCGGGGTGACCGGCCGCGTGGAAGGGCAGGGTGGGGGCGAGGAGGAAGAGGGCGAGGAGGAGGGGTTGCTAGGGTCGAAGCCTCCAGCTGGTGTGGCTGCGCCGCCCAACACGCCCGCATATACCTCTGAGCTCCGAAACCATCCGAGCCATCCCCAACCGCCTCGGCTGAGTCTACTCAACAACAAGCCAGCTGGTGACATGCAGCAGCAGCAGCACCATCAGAAGCTGCCGGCGGCCCAGCAGCCGTCACCTCCGGTGCTGCTGGCGGAGGCTGTCAGATCACCCATGGCTGGCCCGGGGGCAGCAGCCGCTGGCCCCATGTTCGCATCTGCAGCGGCAGTGGCAGCGGCAGGCAAGGTGGGCGTCATGGGGGGTGCTGCTGATGAATGAGTGACCATTACAGTGGTTTGAGGTGGCGGAAGGGGCAGACGTGGTGGGCAACGGCGGTGCTGGTGGCAGCAGCGGCATGGGGATGACAGTAGTGGGGAGTGTCCGTGATGACGGCTGAGACGGTGATGTTGTGTTGCGGTTGGGTACTAGCACTGGGATGGCGCGTGGTAGATAAGCACGTAAGCTAAAGCTGCTTTGGGTGTTGGTTGGTGTGGGACGTGGTGGCTGAGGTGGGTCAGGCAGTTTTGCTGCTGGAGGTGGTGTGATGTCGGTAGGCGGGGGGGTTAACGCAAGTCCGATGGCCTGGGAGGAGCATAGAAGGTTCACATAAGTGCGGAGTGCTTCCACAGTTGGCGGCATTTTGGTGCAGGTGTGTTACGTCCTAACAGTTGACATGAAACACATATGCGTATGGTTGGCAGGATGTCCGTAGTAGTGCATAGGGGTAGAAGGTGCTGGAGTTGCATGCAAGTAATAATGAAAGGTGAAATCGTTTACGTAGTTTGCAGGTTCAGAATCCGCGTCCTTGGGACGTAGTAGAGCGGATTGCATGGCACGCGTATAGTGTCATGGTTGTGGTCACGGATTGGAGAGGAGAGTGGGCTGCCTACTGCTGAGGCAGTCATACGGTACGTAGGATAACTGGGTAAGCTCCTATCATACTGGCATCCCTTGGGGAAAAAACTAGTCATAAAGTGCGTGGCACAGATGGGCCGTGGCACAGGGGGGCCGTGGCAAGATTGCATACGGTGCCGGAAGAGGCATAGTTACACAGACGGCTTCGGCACTCCATGCTAGCTTATGCAGTTCAGCAAACTGGGAGAGCGACCATGAATGAACATACATCTCTGTAACATTCCACAACGGAAAAATTGATAGCAAGCGCGATACCTATGCTGCTATTAGAAAGCCTTGCTCTCAGACATGATGTACGGGATGTACTGTTTGTTGCCGTACTGCATGGTAACGTGCTACGAGGATACCAACCGCAACACGCCTACCGCTGTCACGTGCACGCCTTTAATCCTCTCTCAGCGACAATGCTACTACGAAGATAATACTCAACCATATGCTTACGAACACGGCCCAGCGCTCCTGAGGGGGGTATGGGTCAGCAATGCGCTCCACGCTTGTTTGGGTCACCCCTTTAGCAGCGCTGCTTATCTTTAGCATAACTTATGCGCCAGCTGTATTGGGAAGGAAGCCATGCCCCGAGGGCTGCACAACGTTTGGGACATGTAATGAGGAGCTAGGAAGGTACGCCCTTTGTTAACGAGCCAGCAAGGCCATTGCTTGCCCCTGACCTTGTAACCTTTACCTGCAGATGTGACTGCCCATGGAACTACACAGGACCGGCGTGCTTGACGCCGCACAAAGGCTTTTGCGTGAAACGCGTTGGCGTAGATAACCCTATAAATACCTGCAAGCATGGCGATCCAACTCTTTGTGTGAACGCCTGCAACAGCAGGGGTGACTGCAAAGGAGGCTTTTGCCGCTGCAAGCCTGGTATGATGGAAGCGTCGAATGTTGCCGAATTGGCGGGCTTTCAACGTCGATTCTTTATTTCCGGTTCGCAGGCTACTTTGGGACGGACTGCTCTTTGTCTTACAATGATCAGGGAAAGGTCGAGGTCCTCGCGGGTACAAACTACCGGCTGAATAAGAGAGGTCCTCGTATCTATGTTTATGATATCCCCCCGGACTTCCATGTCAAGTGAGTGTCCTTGATACCGTTGGTAGTGTTTCCGGTCTTGGAACGGCTGAAGCCCACTCAATGGTTGGTCATGTAGGCGCGACATCCATCAAGCTGACCGACCACCGCTCCAGCTTGCGCTTATGGAGCGCATACTATCGGGTGGTTATCGCACGGCGGACCCTGAAGAGGCGGACTTCTTTTACATTCCCGGCAGCGCGCGTGACTTGAAGAAAGCCTACTTGTTACAACCTCTGCTGTCGTACGTTGCCGAAACATGGCCCTACTGGAACCGCACCGGCGGAGCCCGGCACATCATGCCCGCCGAGGGTAAGGCATCCACCTAGGCATCGCTTGCCTGCCCCTTTACAAACGACCGTTAGCAAACCTTTCCTGACACTCCTCACCCCACCCCTTCGCAACCCGTACTGTCCTTAACCTAGGTACGGGGTGCATGTCCTCCCTAGTCATCATGGTTGGATTCCCCTTTACCTCACCTCCTCCCCGCTCTAACCCACCGCGCCACCTCACCTCCCCCCCGCCACCTCCCCCTCCAGGCGATGTGGGCACCTGCGAGCTGCCGCTCATGGTCCGACAGATGGCGGTCAACATGACGTGGCTGCAGTTCTGGGGCATGTACGACTTCCACCCGCACTGGGGCCAGATCTTCCACAACCGCATCCCGTGCATGGTGCCCGGCAGGGTGCGTGGAGCGGTGGGGGGGTGTAGGTCGGTGGCGCTTCGGAGTTTGTCGGGGTTGGGGCGGGAAAATGGGACGAGAAGGGAAGGGGAAGGGAAGGGGAGACCCCCAGTCCTGCCCACCGTCTACCCCACACAGCCCATACCCCGTCACACCCACCTCAACACTCTCCCCCGGGCGGGTTGGGCTGGCTCACATGTTGCAAACCATGATGGCGTCTTATCACACGGTCAGTTAGTTGCTTCCTCTCCACCCCCCCACCTAACCCCCCCTCCCCATCCCCCCCCCCACCAGGACATCGTGGTCCCCTTCATGGCCATGTCCAGCCACGACCGCTTCGTGATCGAGACGCCGCTGCACCCGCGCAACCGCCAGCGCAACCGCACGCACACCTTCTTCTTCGCGGGAGGGGTGTGCGGCAGCGGCAACCGGCGCGCGCTGCCGCCCAACTGCAACTACTACAAGCAAGTGCGGTACAGCGGGGGAGTGCGACAGGCGGTGAGTGGCTGGAGTGGGGGGCCGCTCTGGAACAGGGGAGGAGGGGGGGAGGCCGGACGAGGAGGGAAGGAGAAGAGTGCGAAGGCGGGAATGAACCCGTTGTCCGTCGTGTGGTTGGAGCGATGTAAGCACGGAGAGAGGGAGAGAACATGGCAGAACATGGAACATGCCGTACGTGGGCAACCCTTCTTCCTCCTCCTCCCCCCGCACCCACCCAACCCCCACCCAACCCCCACCCGCAGGTCTACCTCCACTTCCACAACCGCACCGGCTGGCGGGTGGTGCCCGGCACCGACGACTACGCGCGCGACTACGCCTCCTCCACCTTTTGTCTGGCGGCTGCGGGCGGCGGATGGGGCAAGCGCGGCATCGTGGCTGCCATGTACGGCTGCATCCCCGTGGCGGCCACCGACATGCTGTACGAGGCGTTCGAGCCGGAGATGGACTGGGGCAGGTGGGGGGCGGGGCGGGGAGGCGGGAGTCGTTGGGAGGAGGGGGGAAGGAGGGATGCAAGAGTGCCGGTGCTGTGCCGTCTGTGGTGAAGGAAGGTAGGAGGTCAGCCCCGGTGCCCTACTTAACCCCTCCCTCTCTTTACCGGTATCTCTTCAACACCGCCTCCTTCCTCCTTCCGTCCTGTCCCCGCCCCGCCCCGCCAGGTTCGGTGTGCGCATCCCGCAGTCCGACATCCCCCGCCTGGCGGAGCTGCTGGAGTCGTTCAGCCCGCAGCAGGTGGCGGCCATGCAGGCGCGCACCGCCTGCGCCGCGCAGCACCTGCACTGGAGCACCAACCTGGGGGGCATCATGGGGGAAACAGGTGGGGCAGGGAGGGACGTGAAAGCTCACCTCCATCCTATCTCCTACCCGCCTGCTCTCACCCCTTGTCTCCCCTCTCACCCCCAATCTGTACACGTTACCCCCCAACTCCCCCCCTTCCCCACCCACCCCCATGCATGTGTCGGGACATGGGATTGGGACTCCGATTGCTGCATTTCATATTCTTTTACGTACCTCCCCCCCACCCCCGCAGGCGAGTTCGACGCCTTCCACACCATCATGGCCATCCTGCGCATGCGGCGCAAGCGGCCCGACCTGCCCCCGCAGCGCTACTACGCGGAGGACGCGGAGTTCCGGGACTTCATCGACTGCAAGCCATGTGGGTCGCGGAACGAGGAGGGAAGGGTGGGAGGGCCAGAACAGCCAAGAGAGGGGAAGAGAGGGGAGGGGAGGGAGGGAACGGCTGGAGGGTGGGAGACGTTTGGTAGTGTAAGGGTGTGGTGCGTAGAGAGGGGAGTGGGGTGACGTGGGGTGGGGTGAGTCATGCATCAGTTACCCTGGCGGCGGCGGCGGCAGTCGCCACCCCTGCGCCGTCGCAGACCTGCATGACCCGCGACGCACCGTTACCCCCTCCACTTCCGCTCACAACGTTGGACGACCTGCGTCTCAGTGCTTGAGGCTGAGGTGCGGTACCTCAGCCAAGGACAGCACTCATTAGGTTCTCACATAGTCCCCGCCCGTGGTTCCCGCATTACCTCATCCGAGGCTGCGCCATGATGCGGACACGTACCTCCTGGCAGTGGCGACTGCAGCGGCAGTACGGCCCCTCTCAGCGCATGTTCCTTCTTGCTTGTTACGCCTCGCTTCAAGCTGGAGTCAAGTCCCGCTTCGTCTTCCGCCGCCGCACCAGTAACCCCGCACTTCACCATTGAAGTGTTGAAATACGTACGTCTCCATGAGGAGAAACCCCAGCTTCACCTGTAACAGCGTCAGACCGCGTCTCTCGCTTTTCATTATGGTTAAAGGGACCCTGCTCTTCGCGTCCTCCCCATGTTGCCGCCCACCCAACTCTCTCCTACTGCCCCATCCTAATCTGCTTCCCCGCAACCCCCCGTTTCTATCATGTCCCTGCTCTTCCTGCCTCCCCCCTCTCCCTCCTTCCCTCCCTCGCCGCCTGCCACCGCTCCCCACCCGCCGCCCGCCTCCTCTCTCTGTCTCTCCTCGCGCTCGCAGTCCGGCCCTCCGCGCGGCACCCCCCTCTCTGCACCATGTACGTTGGGCCCGGCATGGAGACACGCGGCTTCGAGGACGCCTGCCCGCCCGCCCGCTATTACTTCCGCCGCAAGATGGGGCCGCCGGGAGGTGCCATCTGCGCGCTGTCACCCAGCCCCGCCTCCTGCCCCATCTTCGACTGAGTTCCCATGCTCGACTGAGGCTGGGGCCGGGGCAGAAGGTAGAGGCATGTGTGCGCGAGAGGGGCAGGGCGGCACAGCAGCAAACCAGACAGAAGCAGCAGCGGGAGACAGCAAGCAGGGCGCTGAGATACCAGGCGCGCTGCAGCTTGACATGAACGCAGCATGACGAGGGCCAAGGGGCGGAGGCGGCGGAGCCGAGGAGGAGGAGGAGTCGAGGAGGTGGAGGAGGGGGGTGTTGCTGCGTCCGGGGGCCGCTGAGGCTGCCCCGGAGAGGTGAGGGCGGTGGGTGATGAGGTGTGCTGCTGCTGTTGTTATCACCATTGTGCGTGTTTGCTTGCACGGTTGACTGCTACGGCAGACAGCGACAGCAGACGCTAGGGAAGGGAGATACTGAGTAGGCCGGAGTGGGGCAACAAGGGGGTTGGTACGGTGAAAGAAGTAAGAAGCTGTCCTACGGCCAGGCAAAGGCTGCTGTTTGTGTGCACCTGCTGCCCCTAGCCTCCCAGCCGGACTCCCTGCCGCCCTACATAAGATGCGATTCGCCGTCGCCGCCATCTGAACCGTCCATGGACCCCCCTCGGCGGCCCGAGGGGGGTCCATGGACGGTTCAGATGGGGGCAACGGTGAATCGGATGTTATGTAGGGCGGCAGGGAGTCCGGCTGGTAGATCCAACCTGCGCTTGCCAGGTGGGGTTTGGGCGAGGGTGCATGAATAGGCGGCAGGGGAAGCAGTACAGTCAAGTACGGTTGCGGAAGGAGGAAGGCAGTTAGGAAAAAAGAAACTGCTGCAGCCATGGGAGATGGTTGCGGCCCCTGCACCCGACCCTGGGTTATTTGCTGCTTAGATTACACGATACGGATCTCTCTGCCACTGCACTGTCGCTCGTCAACCCCTGCTCATCACGGTACCGTACGACATGGTGCGGTTCATGCGGACTGCTATAGCCGTTCGCCGGGTCCATTCGCGGCTGCTGCTCACCCGGGGCCGGCTTCTTGCACGCCACGTTACGGCACGGCTTTCCTTCCACGTGCGGGTTTTCTTGCCATCTCGCGGCCAAGGGCGGGTTTATGGTTTATGCTGTTTACTTATACCCACACGCTTATCTTGGGTGTCCGAACAATGGCTCCCTGCACTGGGGGGACTTCCCGGTGGGCAAAGCCCACCGTCCTCAGGCTTGCGGCAGCTAGTGTGTACCCCCTGGAACTGCGTTGCCAGTTGTCACCTCTCACCTGCTGTCAGTGCGGCAGGAAACAGTTTTAAGTACCACGTCGTTGCCCCCGCTTAGTGTGTTTCGCTAGTCACTAGCAAGGGTGGTTTGTTTGAGCTGCCCTACCAAGAGTAACACCTGGCTTTCCACGTTACCTGTCGTTCCAACCCCCGGAGCCTGCAACCTCCGCCTTCCATGCACGCGCCTCAACATATGCCCATTCACTTAACGTCGCCCTTCCGCCAGCCCCCACCTGCCTGCCACCTGCCTCCCACCCGCCCCCACCTGCCTCCCACCCACCCGCCCCCACCCCCAGACGCCCCCGAGTCCCCCGCTCCCCCGCTGTGCACCATGTTCGTGAGTCCGCTGGTCACCAAGTATCCGGACACCTGCCCCAAGGAGCTCTTCAGGTTCTACATGCGCCGCAAGATGGGGCCGCCGGGCGGGGCTATCTGTGTGGGAGCCAAGGACCTCGCCTCGTGCCAGCGCTTCTGACCGACAGATTGACAGATACATGATACTGAGAGAACTGGACGTCTATGTGTGGCCGAGTGTGTAGTTGAGCGGGTCGTAGTGGTGGCATGGAGGTGTTTCGTCTGGTGTGCGTCCTGGCAGACTTGAGGATGTTTTTGCGGCGTTGCACTTGTGCAAGAAACACATGAGGCGTTGATGCATAGCCAGCATTTACTGGAAGGTTGACAATGTGAGGATGGAATGACGAGGGGATGCGAGGCAGGCGCTCACTGTCTACCATGGACACCGTGGAAGTGGTGATAATTATGCGTGGCGACCGAAGTTAACTAGCGCGTTGTTAATGATACAAACGCGCAATGGCGAAGCTCTCCTGTTGACAAATCTCTTCCCGCAGTGCAGGGCAAACGACGACCGGCGGGGTTCATGAGCCTTCCAGGAACACGTTCCCATTCGACATGCCATACGCAGCAAACACTTAAAACCATTCCTTCCTTCCCTCACCATCCTCCTCAGATTTCCTCACCCCAGGTGCTTCCCTAGGCATCCATGTTTTCACCCCATCACCGTATCACTCGCCGCTCCCAGAGCGCCAGCCCCGCTCCCAGCCCCCGCTGCTGCAGCCGCCTCCGCCATCACCCCAGCATCCGCCGCCACAGCCGCCGCCAGCGCCGCCGCCGTGATGGGTGCCGTACGTGCCATCCGCTGGAACAGAATCTTGGAGAAGGTGTCCGCGCGGCCCCGGCGCTGGTTGGCGGGCCCCTCGTAGTGCAGGTCGGCCCCCACCGGGCGGCCCTCGTGGAAGGTGATGCCGCCCTGCGTGCAACAGAGGGGGAAGGGGAAGAGAGGGGTAGTGGGGTTGGGAGGAGCCTACCAGGTAGTGGAAAACATGGGCTCGCGGGATACCGGTAACGCCATGTCGCGGAGTAGAGGTCCGAAGGGGGCCCTGGGATTCACAAGTTGAGGTTCACTGAGGGTAAGGGTGTCATGCGAACACACACACACGCGGTTATCACAACTGCGGTTCCCAACTGATTGCTCTTGTTTCCGCTCAACTACACACACGCGGTTATCACACGGGTCCTTGCGGTGCTGTGGGTTCAGGGGTTACGGCACACACCGGTATCATGCCCCTGGCTCACCTGGCGAATGGAGAAGCGCAGCAGGCGGCCGGGCCGCAGCTTGTCGCCCATGGCCGCCACGAACGCCTCGGGCAGGCGGCCCAGCACCACCGGCGGCTCGTCCTCGGTGGCCACTGTGCGGTCGGCGCGGTAGGTGAGCGACACCAGCTGGTGCGCCAGGGGGGCGCCCTGGGCGTCCGTGTCAACCAGGTACCTGAGGCGAAGAACAACAACAACAACAAGCATATACTACGTGAGAAATGTCAAATAAGGCAACATAGGACCACGCGTAGCCTAATCACGAGGGGCCCCCGCAGCCGTTATCGCTCTCCACGCCAGGGGGTGCACCGGTACCCCACCATAATAACCATATAGAGCACACGCAACACGCTTCGTGCTGTATCTGTACAGGCACAGCGTACGTAGATACCGCAGAGCATCACCACACCAGCCCTCCAGCACACGAACGCTAGTGACCCAGTAGCTCCTTCCCAGCGACCCATGGGTCCTCCTGCACCCCACCTGCTGCAACCCAAGTCCTTCCACAACAGTGCCAGGGGAGTGGGTGCCGGCCCGGGCGTGTAGTGCCCCTGCCTGTGCAGCAGGTACAGCCCGTCACGCAGGAAGTCCACGTCCGCCGCATGTGGCACGCCAGCTACGGTGGTGCAGGAAGCAACCGCAGCGGGAGCCGGGCCGGTGGTCTCGGCGGCGGAGACCCATGGGTCACTGGCTGCAGCAGTGCTGCCGCTTTGGGCAGCATCACAGCTGCCGTACGCTGCCCGCAGGCCTTCAAGCGTGCATGGCCAGACGGGTAGAGGGACAATCCTGCGGCGAGAAATGGAAGCGAGCGAACAAGCGAGAACAGATTGAGCGGGCAGGCTGGCGGAGGCTTAACGTTGACACGCGACGGCGGACCACAGGCGGACCACGAGAAGCAACGAACATGCAAAGCACGTTACATGTGAAGCTGTTGACCCATGAACACACTGCATCTGCCGTACACCTGCTTTCCCACCTGTACGACACAGGTGCCTCCTGACGCGCCTGCCCGGGTTGCCGTACTGAGGAACCTGCCTGGCCCGCCGTCATATCCACATCGCCCCCCTCTGGCCCTTGGCCACCGCCACCGCCGCCACCTGCCTCTCCAGTGCTGCTCAGTCCCGGCTGCTGTTGCTGCACCTGATGTTCCGAAGCATGCAACGGTGAGGGCTGAGGAGGCGGTTGCTGTACGGAAACCTGCTCTGTAAGCCCCTCCTCCTGCAACTTGCTAGCCAGCCAAAAGGCCCGGAACTCCGCAGCACAGTCGTACAGCGCATATCCCCGCCAACACAGCAAGTCCTGCAGATTCACAACATGACACAAGAGTACAGTGCTGCATGTTATTACGCTGTACTTAGCTAGGCGCTGGCAGCGAGCTCAGGCATGTACCACCCTCTCCACCTCCCATATTACCCCCAAGAATTCCACCTTCTAACGCAGTAGCCCTTAACTGACCTCCACACCTGTATGTAGTACGTGTTGTTGGGCGGGTGAAAGATGCAGTCCAGGATGCAGTAGTCCCCGCTTGCTGGCCCCGCCGCCCCCGCAGCCGCCGCACCGCAACCCCCCGAGGTGGCGGGTGAGCCCCCGGGCAACGCCGAGGGGAAGCGGTGCAGCGGCGCGCCGTTGCGCAGCCAGCTGACGGTGCGGCCCCTGGGGGGGAGAGGATGTGGGATGTAGAGGGTGAAGGAGGGAGTGAGGGGTGAACAGACGTGAGGGGTGTGGGGCTTAAAAGGAGGGGATGGACACCGGGTAGCCTGCACTGGGCTAGAAGGGGTAGTCCCCCTGTGGGGAGGGACTGGCGCCTCGTGGTGTTGTGTTCATGTAACCTTTGTGGTGACGGATGGACGGACGGACCCTACTGTAAGCCTAAAGCAAGGGGTGTGCTGTCTGCTGTGTTGTGTTGTTACTAGCCAGCTGTGTACTTGTACAGCAGCGGGTGCCGCCCCACAGCCATTCCAAAAGGCGCCTTTGTTGTGCCGGGAGTGGTATACACCTCGGCACAGGCGGCGGGCGGGGCATGTACGGCACCCGTTACGGTATTACGAGGGATGTGTACGAACGATGCTCGTAAGTACACAGTGCGGTGCAGGAGACGGCATAACGCCGTACTCCCGCCTCGCGTCCCCCGCCTTGCTTTGCCACTGGTGTAACAGCCTAGGGGCATGGGGATGCCTACAGAGGCCTGACTGACCAAGTGGGAATCGGCATGTTCGGATGCGCGATGCGGGTTCCGCTGGCAGCAGGTGGTAGACTTGAAGTGATGACTACGGCGGCACGATGTTGGAGACTGGTGTCGACAGTGCTAAGGGAGACTGTGTAGTGGTTGGAGGGTGGGTGCTTTCCCGGGAACACTACCGGCACGGCTACCTGCTGGCTGCCGCATACATGACTTGATCATTGTGACTTAAGAGGCCTTTCGCACGTACGGCTATAGCACAACGGTAAGCATTACTAACCAACTAACCAACCAGCTCACCTGGAGGTCACCAGCAAGCAGCGCATGCCCTCCGGTCGGGGCATCACCATCCTGTGGAGGGGAGGGAGGGAAGGAGGAGGGGGAAGCTGTGAACACTGGGCCTAGCCACTTTGTGTTGTCCTCCTACGCCACATGTTTATTTACACCCACCAGTTGCTAGCCAAGTCGGTTGGCACATCGGTCAACCATTCCGGTTGCATCAGCTCGTTGCCATACTGAAGGCCGTACGATCGAACACCGCCCGTCCCAGCACGCTGCTGCCGTTGCCGCTGTTGCTGCCGCCGTCCACCAGACTTAGATCCACTCCTTCCTTTTTCCTGAACGCCGCTAGCAGCAACGACTTGCGAGGTGGCTTCCATCTCTGCGTCTGCCGCGGCATCCCCAGCGAAGGAGTCCTCCATGGAACCGCTGCCGTCTTGCACGCATGATTGCGACTCCTTCCCTCCATCCTGTCAACATCAGGGGTTCGTGCGCAGAACCACTGAGCGCCCAGGTAAGACGTCGCGCCTACCCTTGCGGGTTTGCATCCATGGCCTGGCGACGCAAAGCATACTTGTGATCTATAACCATAAGCCATAGTAAGCAAGCAAAACAGTCGTAAGGTGACCAGACCACCCCACCTCCTCTTCCTCCTGCTCAAGAGCCAAAGTCCGCGCGCGTTTTGCGCTATGCAATCGCGCTGCCTTTTGCCGGGAAAGCGCGTCACGTCTCCTCTTTTCTTGATAGCCCTGATATGGATTTCCATGGGCTCGAAAGCTGCGCCGCTCATCTGTCAGTTGGCCTGGCTCGGCCGACATCGCTGCCTATCTGTAGTTGAATAGTGCAAGCGAGATATAGGATCTGCGTCGGTAGCCGATAGAATTCAGGAACGAGGTGCTGACAAGCATGCTCTACTAGTAATTCTTGGTCCGGCACATGTAAGCGGAGAAGGAATAATTTAACTACCTCCTATGTACCCAGCCCTAGCCGTCTTCCAATTTGCTTGACAGTCGCTTGGTAACCGAATGATGAAGGACACAAACGGTGCCGTATTGGTATGCCGTACTGCATTGTGTTGCTGTACGGCTTTAACGGCTACATGGCGCGTCTGGCCAGGAAAAGATAGGGAAGTACACGCTGTGCAGTTCCGGCAGCTTACAGCGAAGTACTTAGCTCGACACGCATGTCATTCATCGTCCATGATGCACAGACTCCATCTTTCGGCAATCACAGTACGTTTCGCCTCGCGGCCAGTTATTTTAACACTCACCAGTGTTGCTGCAAGTGCAGGCCAGCAGCCTTGGGGTGTGGGATGCATGTCCGGACTTGACTTTGCCTCATGCATGCATCTAGAACTGGGATGGTTACATTTGAAGCAGCGCAGGCCGGGTAAAGCGCATTCCAAGCCTATCCATTGGGATCCGCCTCTCCAATGGTGCATGAACAACACATATGATTGATAACGAAAAGCGTACAAAAGCCAGCACGGCCCTCCGAATGACATAATGCACGCATACCGGCATGCACGACAGCTTAGCAGTAAACGCCTTAACTAGCACTGTAGCGTAAGGGACTACACTGCATGCGCTTGTCCTGCGCAGAACACGGCAGACAGTTCCACAACAGAGCCTCAGGCTGCAAAGCACAGGGCCCCACAACCGCCCACCATCACACGAAATGCATAACCCACCGTTCGCATAAGCCTCACGCCGCTCCAGCAAATCACGCAAGGTTTGCGCGCCATGAATTCTCGTATGCCGTATACCGCGGCTTGGCAAAAAGTCCTCCTAGCTAACATCCCGGTTCCCGATGAAGCGTGCATGGACCCCACCTAGCATTGCCTGTCGAGTAAACTTGAATCACAGTCACAACCACCAATTCCGAACATGCCGCACCATGCCTAAAAAACTCATTCCCACCCTCTCCGGACATTGTAACAGGTTGTGGTGGTGTCTGAAAACTATGTAAACTGCTGCAGGGAGGGAACACAGGCTGCAAAGAATGCCAACATGAAGCTCAAGCTGCCAACAGTAACGTGCACATAAGACGCTATGCCTAACTTCGTTTCCGACACAGCCGCAACCGCGCTAAAGTATCCTAACCGCACACAAAAACACATACACAAAAGCGCATACCATCGGCTTCGCCGCCCCACCATAACCATGAAAACGTCCACAATAAACCAACATGCAGGAAACCTTATTCCTCCTGAATGCATTCTCTGCCGTTTTTTCGCTTTCTGCTTTCAATGATAACGGGAGGTACCAACATGCCGGCATGTGCCGCCTTCTACAGCAATCCCCTCCTCTTCCTCAGGAGCCACAGATCCGCAGACCACACAAGCAGCTGAAGCGTTGCCAAACTAAAACCAGCAGTAGCAGTAGCGCTCCAAACCACCATCCATGCCTAGCGGCAGCACTCCTTCCACCACCACCTCCTCCACCTCTCCCTACCACAAGCACCGCTGTTACGGCAACCCTACAATCGCAGCCGGCGGTGGTGCGTCTTCTGCGTGAACTCCTGCTTCTTGTCGTCGGGGACCACCTGGCCCGGCTGCACCAGCCCCGTCTTCTTCTGGAATACGGACATGATGGTTGGGTTGGTGAGCCAGGTGCACGAGTCGGCCAGCCGAGTGGCCACCATCTCCTCCGGAATGTACACCGCCCACTCGCGAGCATACTGGCACAGGGACCTGGGGGGGGAGGAGGTGGCAGTGGCAGGAGGCAGGGAAGCGGGGGTTGGGAACACCAACGAAGTCGGATGCACGCAGTAATCCCAATCGGGTAAGTTTAGATAGGTATGAATGAAACTGTTTCCGGTAGCTGCACCGAGAGAGGAGGTTGCACAACAAGAGCGTGAAGTTTGAGACAACGAACTATGTCAAGGCGTTCACACCGTCGCGTAGTAGTGACTACAGGTATAGGGGTTGACTACGGGTAGGGGTCCTACGCCCACGGACGCAAGCGGTGCCCCACTCATGCGGACCCACTTTAGAAAGCCCTGCTCGCAGACGTTGTAAAAGTCGCACACGCCGGTGTCCAGGTAGGACAGGTACTCGTGCGGCTTGGGGCCGTGGTAGTGGATGAGGTAGGAGAGCGGGTCAAAGTCGTTGTAGGGCTTGGTGTTGAAGGCCTGGTTGAGCATCTGACTGCGCAGGTCGTGCTCGTAGAACTGGGGGGGAGTGTGTAAGGGGTGGGTGGGTTGGTGGATGATTGGGGCTATGAGCAAAAACTAGATGAGCAAAGAGCCACGGAAAACAGCGACTGAGGGGTTCAGCCCAGGACGCTCCCAATCTGACATGCACGGAAATTGCAGTAAAGTGTGGAATCGCGAAAGACCCCCAGACCGTCACACCCTCTCTGTCAGCCTCCTCCGCGTCCCCCATCCTCCCACTCCCTGCCCGGCATCCCACCCCTCTCCACCCACCTTGTTGATGATGCCCTGGTCCGCGGGGCCGTAGTTGGGGTAGTACAGTCCGTTGTCGTTGTCCAGCATCATGGCCAGGAACTTCTTGTAGTTGCGGCGCATGGTGGGCAGGTTGGCCATGATGATGCCCGCGTTGTACGGAAACATCTTGTAGAACTCGTACGACATGGACACGGAGCGGGGCAGCGGCAGGCCTGGGGGCAGGGGAGGTAAGGGGGAAATAATTGAAGAGTGAAGCAACGGAGTCCCAACCCCAATTCCCGGCTCATGCAGTGAGGGGAGGTAAGGGGGAGGAGGACGGGCGCGGGCGAGGATAGGAGATGGATGGGGAATACGTGGGGATACAGACGCGAACGCAGCGCAGAATAGTATCGAGGAAAGACAGTCGAGGTTATGCGGCAATGGCGTTGAGCATGAGAACAGCGAACATTCAAAAGAGAGACGACTGTGCATCATTCTTGCCCTTCCTTGCAATTGGCCGCCACCCTCCCCAGGGCCGATCCCCGCCCCGTCCCACCACCCATTCCTTACTTCTCAACCCCACCCCAAGCTCCCCCCACCCACCAAAGTCGTCCAGGTGGATGGCCCTCCGGAAGTACACGTCCGCGTCCGTGTACAGCACGTAGGTGTACTGGTCCAGGATGGGCACCACCGGCAGGTCCACCCGCTGGAAGGTGGACACCAGCGCGTCGGGGTTCTTGTACAGGTGCGAGTGCTGCAGGTTCTCCTGTGAGGAGGAGGAGGAGGGTGGGGGTGGGGGCGGAGCAAGCGAGACGGCGATGAAAAAGTGGAAGACGTGAAATAGACAAAGCTAATGACAGGGAAACGCGCGGGAAAAAAGACGCCTTCCTGTCTCGCAGAATAGTTTGGACCTGCCAAGCACCAACCACGATGAGAATGCTCCACTCCCTCCCTCCATCCCTGCCTGCCCGCCCCCCACCTTCATGCGCGCCTGCGCCTTCTGCAGCAGCTCCTGGCGCCAAGTGGGCACGTGGCGGATCATGGTCACCTTGTTGTCCACCAGCCAGCGGCCGATGGGCGAGGAGGTGTTGCCGTCAAAGATGCAGTACGGCTTCAGCGTGTTAAAGTGGGCAGCGGAGCTGGGAGGGGCGTGGGCGGCAGGTGGGAGGGAGAGCGGCAAGAAGTTGAGAGGAGTTGTGGCCAGCCCCGCTTGATAACGTGCTGCATGGGCTGCATGCCTGGCTGCCTAGCTCTCATACCACCACCACCGCCCCCCGATTACTGCTCAGCCCAGATCTCTCCGCAACAGGCATGCACGTGTGCATACCCCTCTCCTCACCGTACGGCCGCCTTGAGCATGTAGTCGTACTTGCCGCTCCAGCTGTTGTACGTGAACACCCAGGGCAGCTTGTGCACTGGCAGGTAGGGCGCGATGGGCAGGTTGCCGCCGTTGTAGTAGGCCGCCCACTGCCCGCGGTGCCGCCGCTCCAGCAGCGCCAGGGCAGCAAAGGTGGACACGCTGTTGCCGATGAACCTGGGGCGGCATGGTGGGGGAGTGGGGTGCGGGAGTGTTAGTGGGAGGGGCAGATCTTGATGACGAGGGGTGCAGGGTGTACACGGTGGAAGGCAGGCGACAGGACACGTGTGGAGAAGCCCGCCGATAGGCTGAGGGCGGATGTGTCACCAGCACGAGCAGCAGCCTGCAGCCCACACAAACTATCCACAGTACCCGCCCCCTCGCGTGCCCCGCTCATAATTCCCTCCCTTCCCCCCTCCCGCCTCCCCGCACCCCCCACCTGTTGGCCCCGAAGCCCACGTGGTACTCCACCAGTGCCCGCATCTCCCGCCCCTCGCTCCGCATGGCGTCCGGGAACACCTCCGCGCTGGTGATCACCCGGTAGCCCGCGTCCACCAGCCGACCCATCACCTGGGGGGCGGGGGCGGGGGGGAGGAGGGAGGGAATGGGAAGGAGACGGAGGAAGGCGAGTGCCATTGCAGGGAGTTCTATGATTGCACGGAAAGGGTGTAATCGTGCGAGGAGTTGATAAGGTAAAACATAGTAAAGTGAAGAGGAAAATATGGACAAAGTGGGTTACACTCGCCCAGCTGGGCTGGGCTGTGCTAACAGAGCGCGCTTCCTCAAATACCTACATTCCCTTCCCCCGAGTGCCGCGCGCGAGTAGCCCCCTCCCCGGTTACTCTCCCCTCCCCCTCTCCCCCCGCCTCCCGCCAGCCTCACCGCCTTGGCCCTGTCCGGGTCCACATCGTCCCAGTAGGACGCCACGTACAGCGGCACGTCGGTGCTGAAGGCGAACAGCCGCAGCTGCACGTCCATCTCCTCCGTGTTGTTGTAGCAGTTGTCGCGGACCACGCCGTCGGGGATGGAGGACCAGCGCCTGGGGTGGTGGCGAGAGGGGCGGGGTGAGGAGGAGGGGTAGGGACAGGGCAGGGAGGTAAGCGGCTCTGTTGGGGTTGAGACAGATGGAGACGTCCTGTGGATTGTGCCCCAAGACACGAATGTGTTGCTCTAAGAAACAGGCAATCCTCTTGCCCACGCGCGCCCTCATCACGCAACAGACTTCAGCCATACCGTGACAAACGGGCATGCCGCGTCTTACGACCCACATCAATGCCGCCCTTGCCGCTTCCATCACTTTCCCACCCCGCTCCCCTCCCCTCCTGCTGCTCTTCCTCACTTGCAGTGCTCCACCCAGTCGTTCTCCATGCGCAGGTGCAGGAAGTTGTACTTGGGCGCCGGCTTGCCGCCCACCCCGCCCAGCTGCTTGATGGCGTGCTGCATGCGCTCCACGTACTCGTACAGCTGATGTACGGCAGAGGGAGGTACGGCAGCGGGAGGAGAGGAAGATGAGAGAGCAGTTGGGGGGAGAAAGAGGAGGCGATGGTCTTGTGGTGCGGCACGACAATGCTCACGCGACGTCTAACATCGGCTCCTGCTCTTGAACCAGATGTCTTTTGTCCATGCGTCCCCATGCTGCCCAGCTTTAGCCGGATGGATCGGCCATCGTTACTTCTTCCATGCCCCTTAATTCCAGCTGAAGCTGTGTCCCGTCTTCTTAGCTGACACCTGTTCCCTACCACGCATCTCCGGGTGTCTCCCTGCCAGTTCCCCCAACCACCACCATCCATCCCTCATGCTTCCCTGCCCAATCCGCCCCCATCCCCAATCCATTTCCCCCGCCCCCGTCCCCACCTTATCCGCGGGCCGCATGGCGTCCAGAGCCGCCCAGATGACGGGCTCGTCCTCGTGCTGGTTCATCTCCTGCGGCGTCATCTTGAACAGCGGGCAGTCCACTGACAGGTGTCGTACATGGCCGTACGAGGCGTTGAGGGCGCCGGTGACGTTGGCGCCCAGTGTGCCCAGCGACACATCCATGTAGGCGCTGTGCATGGGGGCCTCTGGAGGAGTGAGGGAGGAGGTGCGCGGGTGCGAAAGCGGTGGGAGGGATTGAGCGCGGCGTGAAGTAGTTGGGGACAACAGCTCGGAAGCCAGCTGCTCCTGGGGCGCCGTCCCGAGTCTTCCCGACCCAGATCGGGTCATTAGGCCCCGACCCAGATCAGATTCCTTACTAATGGAGTTGATTTAGTCGTCAGAGATGTGTTTACGACCCGGATACGCCGCCCGCCAAGCGCCCACCACGAGGGAAGACCCCCCGCCCATGCCGCCCATAGCCCTAAAACCCGCCCACTATGCGCCCGCCAAACTCCCCAACCAACCCAGATCGCCACTTGGCAACTGTGCATACACCTGTCCCGAGCACCCTCGGCACGCACCATGAGGCTCGAGAATGCGGATGCCGGCCTTCGCCATCTCGTACAAAAAGTATGTCAAGTCGTACACCTCTGAGAAGTCGACCTTGTTAGCACCTTGGGCTGTGACAGTAGCGTCGGTTCGCTGGATGCCATCGCGCATCAGCACCGGGAGCACGGGGGTGCGGCCCAATCGATGCGCGAGGAGGACGCCGTACACAACTGACAGTCGCTGGTTGGCGAAGCCGTTGCAGACTTGGAAGCGCATCGTCTGGTGCTTAGGTGGGACGGTGGTTAGGAGCTCCCCAAGCTGTTCTCTAGTGGGCGATGTGCGGCCATTCAGGATGGCGTTGATGCCCTGTTCGGCTAAGTCGCGCAAGTTGGTAGTCACTTTGACGGCGAGGTTGGGACCGGTGGTCACGGCGCTATTCCCAGCCACAGCTTTCCGACGAGTAGCTGCATCATCTACGTCTACGCCGTTGGACCAAGCTTGCGGTGATCTAAACTCTACCGCGCGCGCCCGATTAGATGCTTTGTAGCTGGCACGCGGCCAAGCAACATAAAGCAGGCCGAGAAACGCTATACATCCCAATACTCGGAAGGTGTAGGGTCGTAGCCTTGAGATAAGAGCGTTTGGCGTCTGAGACCAACGAGATGGCGAAGACGAGCGGGACCTTTCCCGAGCGGAGCTCCTTCCACGACCTTCCCTGCCTACACGGGCGCTTACGCGTAGGCGGCCCATCACCGAGGCCTAAGCCCTGGAGCGGGCCAGCTATTTCTGCGAAACAACAGCCGTCGTGCTAGGACTCTTGGTCAGGTCGGACTGGGAAGGCTGTAGGGGGTGAAACGGTTGGCCAAAACACCAGAAACTACTCGTTGTTGTCGTTCCCGTCTGAGGAAGGAACAACACAGGTCTGCAAATGTAGTGATTCTGTGACAGCAATGATAGCAACAGTGGTCACGGATCCTATAATATTTAACTAGCCTGTTCACAAAGTAACTTTTAAGGGACAATGCCGTGGGCAACAAGGACGCACAGCTCAAGTACCATCGTGCAGTCTCGCGCAAGTACGACAGCGAGGCACAGGAATCGGGTTATATCCAGCAGCATGCATTTATGGTTATTGAAGTGTTATCTGTAAATGAACTGGAACACCGCTTTTACGGGGCAGAAGATAACGGGAGAGTAGGCCCTCCTCAGAGAACGAGGCAATCCCTCGCGTGAAGCCAAGTACAACCTGCCATATAACTATTTACCACACACCAATGCTGATATAACAGGCATTTCCCGCTGCGATGAGAACCGGGGGTCGGTGCGTGCGTGCCGATGACAAGTTCCCGTCGTGCACTTTGAGCCAAATGGCGCATACACAGGCTTTGTGCCTCTGCCAATGGCAATCTTGCATCTGATGCAGCTGGGCGAGGGTACAGCCCCTGGCTACCTTGGTGATGCAACGGACCTGCTAAGGAGCGTTTGCGCCCGCCCCAGGTGTCAAGCCATATACTGCATAGAACCGCTCTTTTTATGCCATCCTCAATGCAAAGGTTTGCTGCGAGCTTAATTCACGTGTCATCGCCCATGCGTTCCGAAACTTCAGCTGCACGACAAAGTGACTGGATTGGCAGTCGAGGCGTTGAATAATAAAACATTTTTATTACAAAGGACTTCCATAAGTTTTTTCTTCTCTTTTCTTTGCTTTAATTAACCGACTAGAACCATGCTGCGGTGCGTTGTTCAGCATGCCGCCCGTGTAGCGGTCCGCCCGCCGGCTCTGACCCGCGGTATGGCGCTGGAGGGCACCAAGTTCGCTGAGGGCGAGAAGGCCATTGAGGACCTGTACTTCACGAAAGAGGACCAGCGCCTCATGGCTAAGCTTTTGGCCAAGGTGAGCACCATTCCCCAAAACTATAAGTATTGTGCGAAGATCCGCTACTTGCATTACGATTTTCATGTCGGTCGCTATTTGCGTAACGGATGATTTCGGCACTTGGGCTCATGGATCGGACTCGCGGCGATAAAGCCCGTCGCTTGCATGACTATGTAGCAGCTTGGACGTATTAGCTAGAGGGTTCTTTTGTTTGGTAAATTAGTTTGCAGTCGCGTTGTGCAAGCAGAGGGAAAGTCGGCCGGCATGCTCCGACAAAGACTCGTATACAATCCGAAACACGTATGCCCCTGTAATCTGGCCACAGGTTAAGACGCAGTCGGACATTGCTGATAAGCACGCCGCGGAGGGTGTGAAGGCCGCCGAGATGTCGGCACTTAAGCAGATTCTGCCAAAGGACACGCCGAAGGAGGTTGTTGACAAGCTCCTCAAGTGGAAGCACACCCACTATTAAACTATTATTACGGCCTGCAAGCCGCGGGGACTAGCGGGGTTGGGGATGGCATTCCTGTTTCGGACTTCGGCGAAGCGGGACATGAAGTGGTCTACCATCATGCGCAGATTCTGTGGCAGGCGGACTCGTGTAGGGAGCATATGCAACCGTTGTTGGCGCCGCAACCCCGAAGGGTGTTACCGGGGTGTGTGTGGTTTTTCGCCTCCGGGGAAACGTATGTGCTAGGAAGGAGCAGCAGCGGACCATGGTGATGAAGGACATGTTGCTCATGTAAATATTAACACGCGTACAGTCCCCTCCCTCTTTCCCTACGCATGCGACCTTCTGGGGATCCCCCCTCAGGTTTGCTCTGTACGTCCGGGGTTGCCCTTCATGAGCTAACACCTGCCTTTTGTGTACAATAACGCTTACGACAGCTATACACATGAATGGCACTGAGTCACCGGCACTCGCGCAACAGCACCCGCTGCCCTTGTCAATTGATAGTGTGTTTTCGACGAAGCAAAAGTTTTGAGTTCCCGGGGGGCAGATCGCACGCTCCCGTACGCGTCCCTACTCGCGGCCATTTATCTTCACGCGCGCTGCGCCAGGCAACCCCCCAACCTACAATCCTACGCGCTACTCCCGAGTACATCCATAAGCCCCCACCAGAACAGCACATCCCTACCCATACAGATTACGAAGGGATCACAGCCTCTTGTAACTTCATACAGCCAAAAGGGACAAACTAAACAGCTGCGCTCCCCTCATCCATGCGGCGCACACGCTGAAAACAAGGATTCCCGCAAACCTGCCAGCCCATCATCAAACCATCCGCGGCTGTAAGTCCGCTCCGAAACCATGCCGTCCAGGTGCCGTACACCCAACGCCTTGTCGTACCGTAGAACCGTACTCCTCACTCCGCAAACGCCTCCGGCTGCAGCCCGCCCCACCTGGCTCGCGGCGACACGCTCGCCGCCACGTAATCCACTCCGAACGCCTCGGCCAACTCAGCCATCGAACCAGCCGTACCCAGACCCCACACGTGACCCACGGGCCACCCCGCCTCCTCCTCCGCACCACCCCCATGACCAGCACCCTTATCACCATCTTCACCCCTGCCACTACCACACTTCCCCCCACTACCGCTATCGCTACGCAGCACCGCATGCACACGCGCCTGACTTTGCCTTCGTAGCTGCGCCACCCGTGCTGCTAGCGCTGCAGCCCCCGCCGCCTCCGCCCCGCCTGCCACTGCTGTTCCTTCTCCTCCCTCCCCTTCCCCTTCCCCTTCCGCTGCTGCCGGCACCATTCCTCCCTCCTTCTTCTCCTCCTCCTCCTCCCCCTCCCCCTCCTGCCTCTCACCCCCCACCGCAGCCCCTCCTCCCCCTCCTCCTCCTCCTCCCCCCGCCGCAATGTCCCGCTGGTAGGTGTGCGCCCGCGCGCCCCGCTGCCACTGGTGGAAGGCCAGCGGCAGGGCGGGCGCGAACACCCTCCAGCCGCGACTCCAGCTGCGGGCCAGCATGTAGCTCTCCTCGCCGAAGAAGAGGTGCGGCAGGGAGGGGCAGTACGGCACCTCCTGGGGGGGGGAGGGGGGAGTGTGGGGGGGGGCACACAGTACCGGCATAGTTCTTCAACCCATGGCGGATGGCGCTCCTCCCCTTTTCGTTTCTCTCCCCCTCTCTATCCTTTACTTGACACCTGTAGTCCTGGGCGCGAACACATCAGCCCCTTTCACTCACCCCTCCTCTCCCTCCCCCGTGTGCCCCCCCTCCACCTCCCGCCCCCTCCACCTCCTTCCAATCCCCCCCCTCCCCCTCCCCTCCATGCCCCCCCTCCACCTCCTCCCGCCCTCCCCACCTGCATCCACTCCGCGCGTGCGAAGCTGAACCCCGCCGCCCAGAAGCCGCACGGCAGCGGGGCGGCGGGGCGGACCCGCAGCACCCGGCCCACCGTGCGCAGGAAGCCTGGGGGGCGGGCGGGGGGGCGGGGGGGGGGGGCAAAGAGGAAAATGGCGATCTGTATGACGAGGCTTCACCATGGGTTGCTACAGTGGACCCGTCCCATCCCACCCCACCAGCGGGGTGGATGTAGTGTAGGCTGACGGCAGGGTTACTGACATAAAACATTAACGTGACTACATGAGGTGTCAGTGCACATGGGATGGGAAAAGGGCAGGAGGGAGGGGATGGGGGAGGGGGGGTAATGCGAGGGGGGGGGGGCAGTGTGCACACAGCGGGAAGTGGGCAGGATGGGGGTACTCCTGCTCACTCACCTTCTCCCTTCTTCCCCCTCCTACTCCTCCCGCTCCCCCCCCGAAACACAAACACACGCACACGCGCACCCATCCTCCTCCCGCTCCCCCCCCCCACTCCCCCCGCACGCGCACCCACCGTCCTCCCCGAACCCCCCCGCGCACAGCAGCGTGACGGGCGCCGCCTCCCCCCGCGGCACCTGCGCCGCCGCCCCCTCCCCGCTGTAGCCCAGGGGATAGGTGGACAGCAGGGCCTTGCCTGGGGGGGGTGGGGGGGTGGGGTGGGTGGTTGGGGTTGAGGGGGGGGGGTGCATGGGGGTATTCATAACGGGCTGAAACAGTTGTATAGAGATCACGGGAGGGAGGCAAGCCTGCTCCCCTCCCCCCGCCACCCCTACCCGTGTCACTCAGCTCCTCCGCCGCCGCCAGCTGCTGGATGCACAACTCGTCCCATCCGGGGACCAGCCTGCGGAGGGGGGAGGGAGGAGAGGAGAGGAGGGGGGGAGGGAAAAAAAGAAAAAGGGGGGGGGGGGAGGGGGGGTCAGAGGAGTGGGGGGAGGAGGGGGGGTGGGTAAACAGTGGGGAAGCCCCGGAAGCTACAGCCCCGGAGCTGAAGCCCCTGCATGCGCCTGGGGGCCACTGAGGAGCACTGCTGGACCACCCCAGGCACAACCCCCAGTCTCCCACCCCTCCAACCCTATGGTTTCCTATGGTTCGGTAAGGTCTTTCACCCTCCCACCCCACCCCCCCACCCCCCCACCCACCCCACCTCTTGTTTGCATTTCTTATATAATTTTCCACCCCCCCCACCTCATGTGTGAGTCCAGTTGCAGTACGAACTGCTCCCCGCCCCACAGGCAGCCAGCCAGCCAGCGGGCCCGGCAGGGCCCCTCCGCCTCGGTGTGGGGTAACACGATGTGGCGGACCTGGGGGGGGGGGTGGGGAGAAGGAATAGGAGTGGGGGGTGGGGGGTGGGAAAATTATGAATAAGTGAAACAACACAGTCCCAATCCCGAATCCCGACTCATGCAGTGAGCGCATTCGGAGACACTATTCTAGAAACACGCAACTCAGAGGGGGTGGGGGGTGGGAGGAAGAGGGAGAGGGAGGGGGGTGGTGGGGGTTGGGCCACGGGACGCCACAACAGGGGGCAGTAACAGCAGCAAAAGCCCAGCAGCAGCAGCAGCAGCAGTTCTGGTCCCCGGGTCCCTACTATCTACAACGGCACGGCCATCTTCTCCTTCTGCACCCCCCCTCCCTCCCCCCGCCCCCCTGCTTGTCGTCTGGTTTGCTCAACACGTTGGGTACGCTTCTCCCTCCCCTCCCCCCCCCCGCCCCCCCCCCTCACCCTGTCCAACCACTCCGGGTGCGACCGCTCCCCCGCCACCCGCACCAGCTGCTGGTCAGCAACCGGGTCAACCTGGGGAGGGGAGGGAGGGGAGGGGAAATCATTTAATAAGTGCAAACAACGAGGGCAGGAGGGGGGAGGAGGGGGAAAAGAATAATACCCAATGTTTGGGGGGGGGAAGAAGTGGCAGGGGGGGCGGGATAAGAGAAGGGGAAAGTTGGGGGGAGGGAGGGAGGGGGGAGGCCGGCTGGCGGGCCCTACCAGAGGTTGCTGGTCTGCTTTGGCCGTAGCACCCTCCAACTGGAGCTAGGCACATCCCCCACCACATACCGACAATCACAGGGCGTTTCGATCCGACACGTGGCCAGTTTCTTACCATACACACACCGGGTTTGTTACATGCTCCCCCACCCACCCACCCTAACCACCCACCCTAACCACCTACCCTAACCCCCCACCCCCCACCCGCTCCCCCCCCTCACCTGCCACACCACCCCCACCCGCACCCGCTCCGGTCGTTCCGCGTTGGCAAAGATGCTGTGCAGCGTCCACTGGCACTCGGGGTCGCGGTAGGCGGCCAGGGACACGAAGATGCGGGGAGGGGAGGCGGCTGCGGGGGCGGCTGCGGGGGCAGCGCAGGAGGAGGAGGAGGAGGGAGCAGCGGTGGCGGCGGTGGTGGTGGTGGTGGTAGCGGGAGGAGGAGATGGAGCAGTGGTGGGAGCTGCAGCTGTTGAAGCAGCAGCAGCAGCAGGATCAGCAGCTGCTGCTGCTGCTGCGGTGCGGGGCGTGGTGTGGTTGACGGGTGCGGTGCTCCCCAGCTGCTGCCACTGCTGCTGGAGCCCCTGTTGTTGCTGCTGTTGTTGTTGTTGTTGTCCTTGGGGTGGAGGTGGTGGTGATGGAGGTGGCGGTGGTGGTGGTAGGGATGAAGGGGGCGATGGCTGCTGCTGCTGCTGCGGGGGAGGCGGGGGAGGAGGCGGGGGAGGAGGCGGAGGAGGCGCCTTGTTGCCGGGTTGCTCGCCCGCGGCGACAGGAGCGCCGGCAGCAGCGGGGGCAGCAGCTGGGGGAGAGGGGTGGTTGGTGCTGATGCCGTTGCTGCTGCCATTCATGTTGCCGTTGCTGCTGTTGCTGATGCCGGGGGTGTCTCCGGACGCGGGTGGTGTGGGGGCGTGCGGGTTGCGGCAGTGGAACCAGGCGGTGACTGCGTACCTGCGGGAGAGGTGAGTGGGGGGTACGTGGGAGGTGAGTGGGGTTGGGGGAAAGGTGGGGGGCTGGGGAGCAGACACCCATACACCGTGTGTACGACCAACCCCCCAACCCCCCACCGCCCCCCCCCCAGCCCGCACCTGTGCCTATACGCCGGCATCACCTCGTGCTGCAGGTGCGACTCGAACAGCAGCAGCCGCCCGCCCACCGGAGCCACCAGCAGCGCGGGCTCGCCGGCAGCCAGGCCGGCACCGCGCAGGGAGGGGTGGTTGGGGTGGTTGGGATGGGGGTGGTGGTGGTGATGAGGGGCGGAGTAGAGGGCCAGGCAACCGCCGTCGGTCTGGGAGCATGCAGGGGAGGGGGAGGGGGAGGGGGAGGGGGAGGGGGAATAAGTGAAGCAGCGGAATGCCATATCGGGTTGTCCGCCGTCGGCAGGGGGAAGGGTATTGCCTGGTATTGCTGCTCCTATTCCCATCCTATCCCCATTGCTTTGCCCTAACTTGTAATGATTTCCCCTGGTTATGTTGTGTGTTCGCACCCCCCTTCCTGCTCCCCCCTCGTGTACCTCCCCTGCTCCCCCCTCCTGCTCCCCGCCCACCTGCGGCTGCCAATCGGGTTCATTGAGGTACACGATGGCGGTGACGCGGCGCGAGGGGCAGGTGGGCGAGGCGTCCGCGTGGCGCACGTAGCGGGCGCCGGCCCCCGGGTAGCAGGCCAGTTGGAAGCGGGGGCGACCCACCACATCCCAACTGGGGGAAGAAAAGATGAGGGAGGAGGAGGAGGGGAGCGGGAAGGGGAGGGGAGGGAGATGGGCGGCAGGGGGAAGGGATAGATAGGAAAGCGGGCAAAGGCGGGGGCAGGGGGAGGGCGCGGGCTCGCCATCCCCTGGTTCCGTATAACTGAACCCACCCAGCTTCCACCCCTGTGCATCCCAGGCCGTCGTACGACCCTCCCAATGTCGTACTGGCCCCTGCCGTATTGCCGTACCCCTGCCGTTCCAGGTGCTGCCGTACAGCCTCCAACCGCCCCAGCAGCGCCGCCATAGGGCCCCGCCCCGCCGCTGCCTCACGTTCCGGATTGAGCCACACGACCACGTCTCCGCGGGCCTTTCCAAGGGGGGACATGGTGGGGGCAGGGGATAATTAAATAAGTGAAATAACGAGTCCCAATCCCAGGGCAGGGGATGGGAGGTGTTGTTGGGATGGGTTAGGAGGCCGTCGAGATGAAGGCGATCAGAAAAAGGCAGGAAGGAGGAGAAGGAGGGTATGTAAAGTGAGTACAGGGCAGGAGTCCTACTCCGTTAGTCATGGACGCCGCTTTTCCTTTGCAAGGCATTTGAAGTGTCCATCCATCCATCTCACCTTCTCATCCACCTGCCGCCCCTCTCCTGGCTGAGGCACAGCGCCCCCAATAGCCGCCTGGTGTTGACCCTCTTTGAGGGCTTGGCGAGCGCATTCGCGTGCAGCCTGGCAGCGTGTGCGAGGATACATTACGCATGGCAGGCAACATCGGGTGAGTGATACGCGCAGTTCAATTCCCTGTATGCATGACTAAACATACCGTTACTTCTTCCGTTGAAATAAAGTTGTCGATGATACATGCGCCCCCCACTAGCTTAATTTCGCAGGCAATGTCAAGACGAGCTGGGCTCGGAGCGTCCGCACGACTTGATGCATTACTAGGCCCATAGCTGTTGATATGTGTGGCGGTGTCCTTGGTATTGGGATCGTCATGTTCAGGTTGGTGTCCTGTTGTCCCGCAGATGGCATGCAGGATTTGCCGCCGCACTGCATCTGGCAGCAAGTTAATCCTGTCAGTGATGTCCATCTCGAGTCTGAAGACACCAACCCGGTGGTGGCCTGAGCCAAGTGATGCGCTTAAGCGAGTGCACCGTTGAGGGTAACGGAGCGGCAGTACACACTAAAGTTGCGACCCCTGAGACAAGTAAGGCCCGCCTTCGGCGGGAGCGACCCGTAGCTCGGCAAGGGAAGCGAGTTATGTAAGCTGAAAGTTAGGTTGGGTATGTGGTGTGGAACGGGAGGAGGCGACAAATGTATGGGCGGTATGTTGCTGCTACAAGGAGTCAATCTCCGTACAATCGGCCGGCAGGTATTCTCTGCCAAGCGTACAACCTGGTTCAATTGTCGCCAGTCTTTTGGCAACTGGCAACAAGTCAACAACAACTGAACAGCTTGGTATGGTGCCAAACAGTCTAGTTAGTGGCATGTGACCAGCAGTGTAACCCCTAGCAAAACGGACACCAACCAAACCCAGAGCCGTGCAACCAGCCGTCGGATCTATCATGCTAAAAGTACAGCAGGTCGTTATCTAGTGGACGTTACCGTTACGCCGCAAAGCAAAACGTCGGCCCCTTTCAACAACAACTGAACAGTTCGGCATGGTGCCAAACAGTTTAGTTAGTGCCATGTGACCAGCCGTGTAACCCCTAGCAAAACGGACACCAACCAAACCCAGTGCTGCGCAACCAGCCGTCGGATCTATCCTGCTAAAAGTACAGCAGGTCGTTATCTAGTGGACGTTACCGTTACGCCGCAAAGCAAGACGTCGGCCCCTTTCAACAACAACTGAACAGCTCGGCATGGTGTCAAACAGTCTAGTTAGTGCCATATAACCAGCCGTGTAACCCTTAGCAAAACGGACACCAACCAAACCCAGTGCTGCGCAAGTGTACCGTTACGCCGCAAAGCAAAACGTCGGCCCCTCAGTGGGCGTTGCGGCGCTCGCCCATCCACGGGATGGCGGCGGGGTTCCACTTGGTGTGGAGCACCTGTGGGTGGGATGGATAGTGGAGGAGTGGTCGGGTCGGAGTTGTCTGGGAGAGATAGCAAGGAGACAAGATAAGAACACGAGGATGCGTTTTCCGCAAGAGAGTCCTAAATCGTTCAGTTGTGGACTCACGTGGGCATCGTCGTCCAGCTGGGCGCGGTGCAGGTGCGGGCGCAGGCGGCTCCATTCGGTGGCGGAGAGTGTGCTGCCGGGGTCACGCCATTCAGTGGACGCCATGCTGGTGGCGCGGCTGACCAGGGAGCGGAGCTGCGCGCCCGTGCACCGCATGAAGGCGGCGAAGTCGTCGTAGGCGATGACGAAGAGGTTGCCGCCCGCCGATGCGAGCTCGGTAGGCGGGCACTGGATGCGGCCGTTGGAGAGGTATACCACCGGGTGGTAGCGGGTGATCCATAGGGGAAAGCCGCGGGCGTGGTACTTAGACGCCCGGCGGAGGGAGAATTGGCTGGGGATGGAAATGGCGGCGCCGACAATTAGCGAGTAGAACCAGAGGGCGTGGCAGTACGTGTTGAGGTCCGGGTCTGCCGGGTCGTCGAGGAGGACGGCAAGCATGACTACGGAGAGGTCATAGGCTGTGACGATGGCATCTGCGGATGGGGTAAAGGTAGAGGGAGGGTGCGAGCGGGAGTGTGGAGGTATAAGGGTATTAGTTTGGCTGCGTTGACGTACAAATAAGGCACTAACTCAGGGGGGGGGGGTTAAAAACCAGCATTCGGCGCCCAAGTCAGCACCCGCTCAGCAACAGAACCGGAAACCACGAATACCTACCACACCCCGACCAGAAACACAACCCCAAACATACCATCCATCAAAGAATCCCGCCGACGCCAAAAAGCCCACCTGAAGCATCCGCCCGAACACCACCGACACACCGTGCCACCCCCCCAACCCCACACCCAAACAAGCTTTGGGGTCAATAGAATTGGTGACGTGCCCTGTCGCGTGTTGTGCCTCTTCCACCGGACTTACGCTTGTGTTGGGCGACGCGCTTGTTGAATTGAACGCGTTGGTGGGTGGTGCGGTTGCCAATGGTGACGTCGCACACGACGGTCGTGGCGCGCTCGGTGTCGATGATGCGCAGGATATGGACGTCTTGCAGCATGGTGAGGAGGTGGATGGCGTTGCGAAGGATCGTGAAGCCAGCGGCTGCGGTGGGAGCAATGACGTAGATGTCCTAGTCGTGTACGAGGTTGGGGGTGATGGCTTCCAGGGGGATCTGAGGGGTTGGTGGAAGGAATTAGAGGAGGGGGTGAATAAGCGGTTTGATGGGGCAGATGGGACAGAGCGAATAGAGCAAGGTGCAGGTGGAAAGGGAGGTGAAGAGGCAAGGACCAAGTGGGAGTAATGAGGAATTTTAAGGTGGTGCGGCCCCCATGTCTTCGGCTATAACTGTACCTGGAGGACTGCGTAGAGCGCGGCGCTTCCTGCAAGCGCGAGGGTGGCAGGGAACGCTCGCAGCAGCGTGGGGATGAGGCCATTGGTCAGGCAGCCGAGGCGGCCTGCGGAGGTGGTAAGGGTTGCGACGGGAAAATGAGAGGTTGGCCCAACCTTGAAGAATTATAGCCGGACGTGAAGGTGACGACGAGCGAGTGAAGGTGACCACAAAATCCACTCCCACCCCCAAACGACCGACCACCAAAACACGCCGACGCCCCTAAAAACCCACTCCGAGGTGGCTGCATCCTACCTCCTGTCTTTCCAGGTTTACCTTTCACGTCGCGGGGGTTGACCACGTTGCGGTTGTTGGCGAATTGTTGGGGTGCGGGTGTGTTTGCAGGTGCGCGGAGAACGTAGTGACGGAGAGCGGCGAAGGCAGTTGCGATATGCGTAGAGTTGGCGATGAGGCGCTGTTGCTCGCCCCACGCCCACCGGCTGCACTAACCACCACGCCACCTTGCTGAAGGCGCTGCAAGATAGCTGACGGGTCCGTACTATCATCTAAAGGGTCGGAAGTAGAGTATGCGCCCCCATGGTGCACCTCGACGTCATCCAGCCCCAGCATGTGTACTCCAGGTCCGATGTATCCGTCTGGCTGCAGTGCGGCTGCAGGCGACACAACGACACCAGCTGTACCGCCCGGCACGGCTAGTGCGGCCGCCATGGGCGACGGCCGAGCGAAGACGCCTGCACGCGCGCGGTTGGCAACAATTTAGGATTAAAGCTGCAAAGTTCCAATTAATCTGGAGCTGGAGTTAGGGAGGCGCAACAGCCACCTGCTGGATGTTGCCCGGCGACGTCGGAAGGGTTACCTTGGGTGTGTGATTGCATGGCGGCACAGCACGGTATGGGTAAAGACGCTGTCTCCCACCCCCCTCCACGCGCAGCAATGCACATCAGGTCCTTACCTGTCACCGGGATATTTGGCGTACGACCAGACGGCGCTGGCTCCTGACCAGCACCCGGACCAGGCGATCGACCACCTACAAATGTACGGTCCCAGGCGCGGTCGGACGTACAACTGGTAATAAGGATGAGTCAAAACAAACTTTCCTGCTCACGCGCACGTTCGGACCATTGCGTTGCAAATGGAAAAGGTAGGCCCCTCACCTGCTGCATTCGCGCCCTCCGTCGCCGCTTCCACATCATCCTGCTGCTGCCGCACCCGAGCGTTGCCGGCACGATCCCCTTCAAATGCAGCGCGCATGACCGCTGCCGTGTCTGGGTCATCTGTAGCCACCGCGTGCGCCACTAACGGCTCTGGCACCGTCGGCTCCGCACCCAGAGCGCGATACTGCTGAAGTGCAGCGTGGTCCACCTGAGCCATTGGATTCACGCGAACGGCCCACTCCGCCCATGCAGCGATAGCCAGGCCCCGCATCTTCAAGCATGGTGCCTGCCGCACTTTGGCCTCGAGGTCGGCACGATCTTTGACAGCATCAATTAGCACGACCTGAATGAAGGACGGCAGATCCGCTGGAGCGTATGGCACAACACGCTGGAGCTCGCTGGGCACGTTGTTTGGAAAGGCGAGCGTATGCCCACGCAACGCCGCTGGCAAGGTATCCACCGCGCGCCAGCTGGGTGTACCCGGCTGCCGCACAACGAGCAGCCGCATGTGAGGGCGAGCGAGGCCCACCACCAAGCTCTCCAGATGCGTCAGCGGTACGAGCGAATGACCATGCTGATTTACAGGGGGTACGTCGCCGGGATCCAACCATCCAGCCAGCGCCCCATCTGGGATCCGCCCACCTGGTGAAGGGCAGTGACAGGGGCGTTCAATGTCAGTAGAGGCATGGGAATAGACGGAGGTACAGTGCCAGGGCCCGGTCGAGGCAGCCCATCATCTATAATGAAAACAAATAGCACCATGCCGGTGCTAATAGTGATCACAACCTTCGCAAACAGACGGCCCCCATGTTACCATAACAGCGTTCACTACCCAACGCACCCTGTAAGGCCTGTATGCATTCCGAGCAGACCGTAAAGCGCTCCACGCCGTCCGCTGAAACGTTCATCGTTCGGTTGGGCAGTACCGTCTCCGCGCGCATGCAGTACGGCACCTCCACCGCCACGGGATTATCGTCACACAGCCGTACCCCTACCCGTGGCGCATACGTTGGAGGACGGTCTATGTCGCAGCGTCGTCGGCGTGACGGCCGATCATCGGTAGAGTCGTCAAGGCCGCTGCTGGTCTCGCCGCTGCCCTCGCCAGCGGATGTGTCAACTACGCCGACGTTGCCCGACTGACCACCAGCGGCCTTGTAGCCGCGTGGCAGTACGGGATCCGGCGGGTTTTTGCAATCACGCCGATCGACACGCCGCCAATACAGAACGTGCGCGCAACGAGGCACAGCCGCAGTCCGCCGCATGTCAGCACGTAGCAGCTCAACGCCAGCTATCTCGCTGAACTGCAGCGCCCGGACCTCTGAAGCGGACTTGCACTCACTGCAGACTGCACACACCCGTGATGGCATGTTGTCGCGAACGAACTCGGCGAGGCCACAAGCCAAAGTTATCTGCTCCGAAAACGGTATCTGGGGAGGCTGTTCACCTGCTGGCAAGTCCTGCACCCGAGCTGGCCAAGCAGACGTTTGTGTCTCTAAGAACGTCGGCAGCTCAGGTACAGCTGGATTGTCGTGACGGAAAAGCGGCAAGCAGAGGCAGCCTGAAAGGGACTCGAGGTAATCATCGTGAGACAACCCACCCACAAGTCGAGAACGCTTACGCTGGCAAGCTTGCCTAGCTGCTGCCATCAGTTGCCTCCGCTGAAGCCTACACGCTGCATTGTCACGTCTGCGCGCCTGCCTGGCTGCAGCCGATGCCGCTGCTGGTGCACCCAAAAGGTCGTTCTGCTGTACATGCAGCGCAGTGGAACGCCCATGCCCCAATCCCAGCCCTCCCACTGCTGCCGCCGGCGCTGCTGCTGCCGCTGCTGGCGCCACTGCGGGAATTCCCACCGCGCCGGCCGGAGCCGCCAGGCCGAAGCCCGCCGGGAGTCCCACCGTCCCCGCCGGAGCCGCTAGGCCCAAGCCCCAACCAGGCTGCGCCGCGGCGGGGAGTCCCACCGTCCCCGCCGGAGCCGCTAGGCCCAAGCCCCAACCAGGCTGCGCCGCGGCGGGGAGTCCCACCGTCCCCGCCGGAGCCGCCAAGCTGAAGTCCACCGGGAGTCCCACCGTCCCCACCAGAGCCGCTAGGCCGAAGCCCACCGGGAGTCCCACCGTCCCCGCCAGAGCCGCTAGGCCCAAGCCCCAACCAGGCAGCGGCGCCCAAAGACCGAGGCCCAAGCCAGCCGCAGCCGAGGCCCCTAGCCTGGAGCCTCCGCCGACCCCCGCAGCCGTACCGCACAAACCCGCCTGCCCCGAGCTACCTCCTCCTGCGACTGTACGCTGCACACCAGCGCTCGGCAGATGCCCTCGCTGTTGTGCTTGCTCCTGTTGCAGACGAGCGATAGTCTGGTACAACGCAACAGCAACAGCATCTGCCCGCATGAGGTCCTGTTGCCGCACCACGTCTGGATCCCCCAGCTGGAGCTGCCATCGCACCGAAGCGAGTGGGTTAGGAGGAAGGTGACCAGCAGCAACAGCATACCGAGCGCACAGCGTAGCAACGACATACTCGCTGTCACTCCTCTGGCGTACTCGATCCAGTAAGCCGTGCTCAAGTATGTACGTCCCAAGCTCCAGCATGTAAGTAGCTACCTCAGGCACTGTATGCCCGAACCCACGCAAACGATCGACGACCCGCTGAACGAATTCCGACAAAAGCCCAGGGAAGCATAGAACCGCATAAACGGAACCTTGACGCTCGGTCAGCAACAAGCTGGCAACTGCTTTGAACCACGGCCACACGCTGAGCCGACGTAAGCCGCTGCAGTAGAGCACGTTGTCGAGCGGGTCACCCGCGCCTGCGACACGCCCAAGGGAAAGGCTGGTACAGCGCCAGAATATAACCGAACGTCATGCGCTCGCCACACACACCTTGATCATCCTTTCCCATGGTGCCCAGCTCGGAAAGCGGTAGCTCTATACCAAACAACGAAACAAAAAACAGCAGCAGCAAGCCAAAGGCTCTGCTAGGACTACTTTCCAGGCAAGGAAGTACTTTCGTTAGCCTCGCCGCACGTGGCGTGGCTTGTGCACCGTTATAAATTGGTTTTACGCGCTTTCTTATACGCTTATTTAGACGTCTATCTAAAACATCTTCGTAGGTGGGTTGTGAAGCGGCGTGGTTTTCCTCGCGAAATCGAAGCGCGGTGAAGCCACGCTGGCTACGCAATATAGCCGTAGTAGACTTCACAAACTCGAACAAACTTCACAAGCAACGACACGAGCGACGCACGAAGAGTTGGCCGGCCGTTGAAAATCTGGTAAGATTCCGTATCAAAGAGCGTGACAGCAAAAGCGCGCCACGCTGGACGGTTCAAAGTGAAGGCCGAGCCGTGAACAAGAGCGCTGAAAGGATCCCGTTGAGCGTGACGGGAACGGGGTATGCATCCCTTCGCTTCGCTCCTCCGAAACCGCATACTTCGTATACGTTTTCTTCGAATCGAGCTACGGGGACGTTGCGAGTCTGCGACACTTTGCAAAGTACCTTTTTGTATTTTGCCAGTATCTCCTCCGTATGTAGAATACTATAACCACTCCGTGCACAAGTGACCACTGACCTGTACAAGCAACACCCCACGTAGCAACACCCTGACATACTTCTTCAATTTATTGTTGTTCTCAGGGTGGCTTTTGTTGATATAGTATGGGTTTGTTCGAGTCATCAAGGGATAGGAGCAAACGCGCTAGGGAGGTTTATCAAATATGCTTGTTTGGGACAGCCTTAGGCGCTATTCTCTTACTTCTTGTATTCTTGTGGAATGACGCTGCCTTCGCGTCATCCCGCAAGCAGTCAATGCCCGGCTCGGACGCACCTAACTTTCCTAAGCCGCGAGTGGTGCGGCGAGGAAAAGCAAAGAATACGTTCGGTACGTTCTCAATTCTGCAACCGAGCTGAAATTCAATTCCCGGCGCCGCAGTATGGATGCGTTGCTCCCTCCGGGTATCTGCAATACATGCACATTTGGTTTCTCGCAGGTACCATTTACCACAACGAGCTCATGAGTTACTATGGTCTTAATTCTGCAAGGCCAGAGACCTTTGCAAAGCTGCTAGGAACATTACAAGATATGGAGCAGGCGAACATCAATACTGTACTGTTCTCCATCAACTGGGACTTCTTTGAGCCCGAAGAGGACAAGCCGAACTGGGACTACCTAAACGCTCTCGTCGGGACAGCCTGTAATTATACCGTGCTCGAAGTAAGCAGATGGACAGATCGGACCGTTTAACTGTTGCAATGGTCCATTCGCAACCCCCTGCCTAATTGCCTACCACCCCTACCTTATCTCACTCTTGTCGCCCTTCCATCGCTTATCTCCCTACCAATCACGTTCCCTTAGGTCAGCCTCGCCTTTGATATGCTACATGCTCCGAGCTGGCTACTACAAAAATACCCCGACAGCTTTTCAATGGATGCCGAGGGCCGCAACTACACGACGCAGCTGTCCTGGTACCATCCCGCTGCTAACGCACGGGGCCTAGACATGCTACACCTTATGGCAACTCACCTGGCGTCCAACTTCAGCGACTGCGTGTTCAGTATGCAGCCCGTGTACAACAATGAGGACGAGGTGCGTCGCGAGCTTTGTTAGATAGCATTGCGTAGCTCCCGCACAGTTGGGGCACCACACTTTAAGGGTTTAAGATCAGGGCAAAAGGCAAGCTGGGGACAGGACATGGCCGGGCACATGGCCTAACCAGGCAAGGGGCAGAGAAGGAGGAGGAGGACACGACAGGGTGTCGGCCCCAGGTTGGAGAGCTTGGTACCGTAACTGCCGACGGTGATGCGGTGACTGGCCTGTACAGTGACAAGGCCTCTTGGCCGAACAAAGGCGTGAGCACTCCTCCACTTCCCTTCCCTTGGGGTGTTGCTGACCGCATCTATTGAACATGCGATCTCCCCCCTCCTCCACCTCCCTTTCGCCTTCTCCTCCCGCCATCCACCAACGCCATGCAGACCGCACCCGCCCGCCCATGGTGAAGCCCCCTCGTCATACAGCTCGTCAGTTTCACCCTCCCACCCTCCCGGCCCCCCCACAGGCCAAGTTCACGCAGGAGTACGACGCCTTCCAGGACTACTCCCCGCCCGCCCTGGCCGCCTTCCGCGCCTGGCTGCGCACCCGCCGCCCCGACCTGGCCGACATCAACAGCCGCTGGGGCAGCGAGTGGGGCGGCTGGGAGGAGGTGCGGCCGCCGGCGGTGCTGGCGGGCAACAGCGTGGGCGTGGAGACGAGTGCTAGGTGGGTGCTCGGGGGAGGTGGTGAGGAGGAGAGGAGAGGAGGAGGAGAGGTGAAGTGGACGCGAGACTGGGATGGCCAGTGGGTTGCCAGCATACTTTCTTACCCATCCACCCGCCCTCTCACCACCCACTTCACCACATGGCCTCCTGGGATTGGGACTCGGTAGCTTCACTTTTCATTCATGTAATGGTTCCTCCCCCCCCCCGCCGGCAGGTACTGGGACTGGATGACGTTCCGAGTGGAATCCGGGGCGGCCGTGTTGGATACGGGCTGCAGGGTGGTCCGGGCAGCCGGGCTGCAGTGCTTCCACCACTTCCCCGAGGTGGGCTGGAGGGAGGGCTGGGCGGGGGGGCTGGGCGGGGGTGCAGGGGGCTGGTTGAATGGCGCGCCGCCTGCAGGGCAGATCACACCACCTCTTGGGCCTCTCCTCCTCGCATGCCTTCTGCCCCCTGCTAGAGGGGCTCCTCTCCTCCCGCGCCTCTCCAACCACCCGCATACAAGTGCACGTTCAGCATACCCAAACAACCACCCTTTGGGTATGCATGTGCCCCACGCCCCTTCCCCATGCCTCCCCACTCCCGCGCTGCGACCCTGCAGTTCTTCTCCGTCCTCGACGCCATCTACGGCGCCCCCATGTTCAAACGCCTAGCCGCGAGCCCCCACACCGATTTCATAATCATGGACTCCAACTTCATAACCGGCGACCGGGCAGCCATCATCAACCCCATCAAGCTGCGAGTCTACCTCGCCGCTGCCATACCGTACGGCAAACCGATCTTCTTTAAGGCGGCGGTTGACCGTTACACGACAACCGAGGTGTTGCATGGCGCCTTCCAGCACGCCCTCATGGCGGGCGTTACGAGTCTGGGGATTGGTAACATTGCGCAGCTTACGGAGCGCGTGAACGTGTCGCTGGCAGCTGCCATGCTGGCGCACCCCCCGTGTCGGGCGGAGGAGCTGGTGGGGGTGTTCCTGCACCTGGATTCGTGCATGGCGTGGCCTGGGCTGCAGGTGGGTGGGTGAGGAGGGGAAATGCACGCTTATAGAAGCCTTGTCACAGGGTTAGGTACTAGTTCCTACTTCTTCTTTACCTCCTCTTAATCCGCACATGTCCGCTTGTTCCCTTCTTTGCTTCTTCCCTGCTTCCCTTCTTGCCGCAGTGGCGCGCGAGGCTCACTGACCCCATGTACAACTTCATGGAGGGGCTGGCCGGCAGGTTGACGGAGAGGTGCGAGACGGACATCGCGCTGTATGTGGAGCTGGATCGCTTCCTGGCCGCCCTGCCGGCGTTCTCGAGGGTGCTGTTCGTTGAGCCGTTGGTGCTGTACGGCAATGCAGAGTTTGAAAACTACATGGCGGTGAAGTTTGCGCTGCAGGAGGTGCCACATGAGGTGCTGCGGTTGCCAACGAACTCGAGCATGGGCGTGTCAATGCAAGTCCTGGAAGATTTGTAGTGTACGATAGTACGCTAGTACTGCAATATTGCACTACACAAATTTGTAGTAGTTACGGATTGTACTGCACATAGTAACTTTTAATGTCAGGTTCGGTTCTAGCATGCATGCATGATAAGCGTTATATAGCCGGGATGTGATGAAGTAATGAGCCCGGACCTGGTTTCGTAAGATCGTTGCTCTCGTACACGTTGTTCGTGATTTCGTACGGATGGGTATGTGGGTTGTGTTCCATGCGCATTGGGGGGTGCGGAAAGGTTTCACCTTAGTAATACCATGAGGCTGGACGGAGAAGGTATGGTTGGTTGGTTGCTTCTGTCCACTCGTATGTTTTGTTGACCAGTTAAGGGTATGCATATTTCGACTAGAGGTGACCTGTTAAGGAGTGGCATGAAGCATCACGTGCATGTACGGATTGGGCTTTGGATGCAGCGCAAGCTGCAGGGTCTTTCAGCCCATGACATTGGACACCTTCCGTCGCGGGCATTCCCGTATTGTTTTATTTTGTGCAGGTGTCTTTCATGCGCCGATTGTGCGCTGCTTGTGATTGGAGTTATCTCAGACGAAGTGAGCTGAGGGGAGGCAGGAGGTGGTGGGTGGGGCTACTCGTTGGCGTCCACTGCCCCCCATGCTTGCCCAGTATGGCCCATCATGTTATTTCGGATTTTGCGCTCGTTAACTCATTATGCTCCTGCTGCTCGTATTTTGCAGTACTGCAGGATGCACGACGGACGTGTGGGGTTTCATGCACATACGTATTACATGCATAACACTTGTCGTACAAACGCAGTGAACAACCGCGTGTTGCTTTGGTGCCTTAACTTCTTATACCACAGTTGCTTTGCTGAACCTGTTGGGCTTCCTTCACGTGACTTATTACCAGTACCTCCGGATCTTAGCCTGTTGCATGACCTGTCTTCGGTGAAACCCAGAGTAAAGCAGTCAGGAGCATGAATGGATGGTCGCTACAGGAGGATATTTTAGATCGGGCCTGGTATCCAACTTCTGCTGTAGAACGCGATGACATAAAGACATTGCTCGGTGAAGTATTGTGTGGCTTTCGGTATTGGCTAATGTGCCAAGGTTGTGTGGGGGTTAAGTGCTATGGAGGCGTACTGTGGAGGGTGTTGCAACACAGAGGAAGAACATACTGTGATTGGAGATGGAATTACGGAAGGACGATGCCACTTCTGTAAGGAAGTATGACTGAAGAAGTAGGTTTCTTGCTAGCTGCCGTGGTGCGTGGAAGCAGATGGCGCGCTTGCATGGGTGTACGACAGCGATGGCAAATCGACCCAGCCTATCAGGGCTGTCCACGCGTTTGTGCTTTTAACTGCCGTTGTGATTGATAGTATCGGGTGGCCATCCCTCTGCCGGGATTGTGGCCGCCTAGGTCCCACCCACCCGCCCGAGGTCGCGCCTAGCGAGTGGGGGTTTGCTTGCGTTTCGTCTTTAGTAGGACAACCAGTTTGGGGAGCTTCTTGGACGCCGGTCTCTCAATTAAGGGGGTCAATCGGCAATCGAGGTGCAACACTGGGTGCTGTCAGCACAATCGGCCACTAGTGCATCTTAAACATGGGTTGGGGCGTCGGGATGTGTGGGTTAGGGTAGGGTTCTTGGCGTGGAGGCGACGTACGGCTGGTTGGCTTCGGCTTACATTATCTGCTGTAACGCATCACGGCAGCTAAAGCAAGAAGTGTCTCTGATGTGACGTCCTCAGTGCCGAGTGGTGAAGTTGACGAGTACATTTGATGGGTAGGGTGCACGGCTACGGCGGTAGTGTAAGGCCGCAACCATGCTGGTGGGTCGGATGCGCAAGCGCACCCATTGACCGCACCACCCTCAAAATATTGAAGTTAATCGCAGGTCCTCAATGAGGACCATGTAAGCGATTAGACTTACAAGAACAGATACTACACATGATCTGAGCCAAAAGGCCGAGAAAGGTATGAAGTAAAGTGAGATGTCATGGCAATCACTAACCCCGGCCGTGCCGAGGTCATGTACACAAGTGCGATGGTGGGTGGGGGCATACATGCTCTTAATACGTATCAACAGCCTGCTTAGGTATTGCACCGGTGCCTTGCCATGCGTTTCATGCACCAGCAAACGGTTTTCAACTAAGGATGCCGGCGTCTCCGGCAAGGGGGTGTCAGCGTCTCCAAGAAGGGTTGTCTCGTGTCAGTGTTCCCACCCACCCGGGTGTTGGAGGACACGTACACGCATGCCCGGGCAGTCCATCCCTCATCCTGCGGCCCTGTCCTAAGCAGGGGGCTGCACCCTCAATACAACTTTGGTAGGAGCTGATACCTCTTGTTCCGAAGAGGGGCAAATTAACATGCAGATGTGTGTTCACGTGCAGAAGCCACGTGACTGGCTGAGCGTGGATCCGCCTTACAGGTCCCAGCAGGTCCCCGGGAGGGCAGGTCAGGAAGCCCGGTCTGCACACTTGCTGGGTTAGGCGCCATTGCAATGTCGTACCCGAGCGCCACACCACAAGCCTATCACCCTCCAAACCACCTACCGCTGCAACCACCGCCACCACCACCACCACCATCTTCCCCTTGCACCTGCTCCTTGCCTCCATCCGGCCCCACCTACCCCTACCCCACCACCACCTCACCACCTCACCGCCATCCTCACCGCCTTCACTACCTTCGTCCCCCCCCACACCGGCACCCCTCTGCTCCCCTGTTCCCCCTGCATATGCTGCCATGCGTGTGCTTTGCGGCTCATCACACCTCTGCCTCCACCACACACCTCTACCCATTACACCACCTCACATCTCCACCCATCACACTTGCAGCCGGTCCACCAGTCGCCATGTCGCCCCCTGCGGCCCCGGTCGCGGGATGACCCAGGCCTTCAGGATGGGCCGCTCGAACACCCAGTAGTCCACCACATCCAGCTCCTTGTTGGGGTCGCCTGCGGGGCGAGGGAGGGAGGAGGGGAAGGGTTTACCAGAGGTTAACGGTGTTCGCACCGACGTGTCGACGCACGTTCGTGTGTCCAGTTTTCTTAACACACACCTGCCACTCACGGCCAGTTATCTTAACACCCCTGCCAGCGCCTTCCACTACAGTGCACCCGGGCACTAGCACCGCTTCTGCAGCTCAGTCCATTCTACATACATCTAGATATACCATACTCCCCACACACGCGGCCCCAGTTCCCCTTGCCACCCACCCACCCACCCACCCACGCCCCCCACCTGCCAGCAGCCTCCCGCGCGCATCGTACACCGCCACCACCTGCTTGGAGGGGATGCGCGCCGTCCACTGCACGAAGCTCAGCCGGCCCTGCTTCATGGGGTTGCCCACCACGGCGCCGTGCACAAAGGTGATGTCCTTGGGGTCGGGCTCACCCACCAGCCGCCACTCCACACGCGTGGAGCGGCCGCGGCGAGCGATCTCGCCGCCCAGGCGCTGCAACATGGGCTCTGAGACGTACTGTGTGCGGCAGGGGAGCGGGAGGGAGGGATGGCAAGGGGTGCGGCAGTAAGTAAGCGTTTGGAGCAAGAGGGAATTGAATCCGGCCCCTCCCACCCTCCCGCCTCACTTACGCCTTTCCCTCCCTAAACCCTTCCCTCCCTCTCCCTCTCCCCCTCACCGGCTCCGCCAGGCTGAGGTCCCCGGTTGCCAGCGCCGCGTTGACGTTCTTGTAGGCGTCCAGCATGCGCTGCTGCAGCTGCGGCTTGCGGTAGGCCCACAGCGAGCGGTAGCACACCAGGCTGGTCCAGAACCTGAAGGGGGGGAGGGAGGGAGGGAAGTGGGCGGGTGAGGGAAGGCAGGGAAGGAGGGTTGTGGTTCGGATGAGGGCGGCATGTGGTGAGAGCGCCCCTCCTCTTCCACGGTTTCGGTCACAAGGTTCCCGTAGTTTTGCTCCACCTTACCCCGCCCCCACCCCTCCTGCCTCACCACGTGTGCCAGTACTTGACCCGCCGCTCCAGTTCCGGGTCCAGCAGCGGGTTCCAATTGGTGTACGGCTGCGGCGGCTGGAAGCGCTCCACCACCGTCCCATGGGTCTTGTAACGGTCGCACAACAGCGACTCATTGGCGTCATACACGTCCGGGTAGACGATCTTGCGGTAGTCGAACCAGGACCCCGGGTTGAAGCCGGTGAAGGGGGAGCCGCGGGCCATGCCGCGGCAGGGGCTGCATGCGGAGAGGGAGGAGGGAGGGAGGGAGAATGGAAGAGAGGGGGGCGGGAGGGGCGGAGTTGTGGGTGGTGTGAGTGTTGAGGGAAGGATGGGGTTTGGCCTGGGAGGAGGGGACCTCTGGAAGGGGTACCGCGAGAGGCTTACTGCCCGTGCAGGGGGGCCGCTGTCATCATTCCGCGATAGGAAGGATGGAAGGGCTGTTTAGGTAGCGATGAGGTGGGTGGAAAGAGAGGTGTACTACAGGGAGCTGTAGGATGGCACGGCTGCACCCGAACGGAGGAGCGCGTTGCTTGGCACAGCGCTGTTGGCTAGGGTGCAGACATTGGGGTGTATGGCTCCGGGGCCTACCCGGGCCCTATTGCCCCGCCGTGCATCAGGGTGCAGGCCGTACAGGGCGCTGATGGGTGCGCACCTGACTTGCTCGCATTGAAACGCCGCTGCAAAGCTGGTGCTTGGCTGGGAGGTGATGAGAGACCCCAGTGGTCTTGCGCCCCAGGTGCCCGTCTGAGCGAAACACGGACGCAGGCGGACAGAAGCGTTGGTGAAGATATTATAATGCAGCGGCAAGAGGGTTAGAAGCTGCGGGATAGAACATAAAGCTTACTTGCTGAGCTATGGTCCGTAGGGCCGCAGCGACGCCCGCGATGCCCTGCGCCGCTTGCCGCTGCGCCATGTTAGTCGACAACTGTCTGTTGCGGTGATAGTTATACTGTGTTTAAACCCAATAACATGCGAATCGTTACTGTTCCTGGGCAAGAGTGTCGGCAACCGAGTTGATGGTAAGCTGCCCTTGTAGAGTCAACTACGACGAGATACCCACTAATGCTACCGCCGGTGTACGCGTCATCCTGCGAATCGCTAATCGATAACTCATCCTTCTCCTTACAGTGGCTTGTACGGCTGCGATCCGGTCTTGCGTTCATACGGAAGACAGCCAGCGAACTAATGCTAACCTATCCCGATGAAACCTACTGTATAACACCTTTAGTCGTGACATAAGGTCTGGAGAGAAGCGTTAACCACTTATTCAAGGAATGGGCGTACGCTGGAAATGCGACTTAGACAAACCCGTCCTCGTCAACAACTTTAGGAGGCGTGGCTGGATTGAAGTCACCGACACTATAGAAGAAGCTGATGGCTGGGACTTATGGTGGGCGAACGTACAGAACATCAAAGCTCTTTTCGGTGACAACCTTACAAGACTCCAGCCTCACCAGCGCGTGAACCATTTTCCCAATCACTACGAGTTAACTCGAAAGGTATGCGATGCACTATCGGTTGGGGATAAAAGAGTTCCTCGGTGCAACAGCCAAGTGCATGTCAACTTTTGCTCAGGACCTGCTGGTGAAGAACATCAAGCGCTACCAGGTGCAAGCCAAGCGCGAGGGAGGCAACCCGGATGACTTTGACATCATCCCCACCACTTTTGTGCTGCCTCAGGTACGACCCTGCAAGGTCCTTTGCACCTGGCCGGTCAAACTCCCGTGGCATGTTGCTCCTGTCTGCACCTTTGCCCTCCTCTCATTAGTACAAGTCGAACTCAGCAACCCATACGCCAAACCTGCCTGAACCTATGAACATAACAGGACTACATGCTCTTTGCTGAGGAGTTTCGGCGCTGCTCATTCCAGCAACAGCAGCAACAACAACAACAGCACAGCGGCGGCGGGGGCTGCGGCACGACGTGGATCATGAAGCCTTCCTCCAGGTCGCAGGGCAAGGGCATTTTCCTCATCAACAGGCTCAGCCAGGTGCGAAAATAGCTGACTAAAAGGGAGGTCTAGCTAGATAGGGGAAGCCTCCAAACCCAGGACCTTTCGCTTGAATGCATTCCCCTAACCGACCGCATTACAACCCCCAAACGCGGTGCTGAGCCCGTCCCATCCGCCATAATACATATGTACGGCATCCCTCGCGCACCCATGCATGCATGCACGCAGATCAAGCAGTGGAGTGTGAGCAGCCTGCCTCCGGCGCTGCGGAACGGCTCCGACAACTACGTGGTGTCACGCTACATCGAGAACCCGCTGCTGGTGAGGGGAGCTGGGAGGGAGGGCAGAGCGGTAGCGGGCCAGGAGGAGTCAGACTAGCAGCACTTGAGAACTATGGTGTGGCAGAAACGGTGGCGTCAGCTATAAGAGTGGCTATGCGCGACACGATGCAGAGCGTAAGACCTCCTCTCGACTCCCTGCGTTCAGGTTGCCTTGTGAACTCCTAATTCCAATCCCTCCCAACCTTTTCCTGACCCGGCCCCCCCTACCGTCACGCATAACCTCAGATCGGCGGCAAGAAGTTCGACATGCGCATGTACGTGGTGGTCACCAGCTTCAAACCGCTCAAGGTGGGTGCTCGCGAGGCTCTCGTGAAGCCATGATGCACGCCTCGCCTCGCCTTGCATCGCAGGTGTCACCTTCTCGACCCCCGCCCCGCTTCCGCGTCCCCAAGTCTACTACTAGCGCACTACCGTAACCCAGCCCCTTGCCACTAATGATCCCATTATCCCTATACATCTTCCAACTCCCAATACGGCACCCCCGCACACCTCCCCCTCCCGCAGGTCTACATGTCTCACCTGGGCTTCTGCCGCTTCTGCAACGTCAAGTACAGCTCGGAGGTGGGCGAGCTGCGCAACGAGTTCATGCACCTCACCAACGTGGCCATCCAGCAACACGGTGCGGTGCGGTGCGGTGCGCCAAGTTGGGGGGAGGGGTTTTGGGGGGCCCTGAACGGGACAGGTGCGGGTAGGGGAGAAGGGGAGGCTGTTGGTTCATGCTCCCAGGTCCCGGGTGGACGGCCGGCTGGCATGCCGCGTCAGATAGGAGAAGAGGGGAATCATATTCATATGAGAGGGATTGCGCTTACTTGGTAGTAGCTACACTGGTACCTGTTGCCATCCTTCTTGCGCCCTTTCTTCCCACTTTTACTCTACCCCTCCCCACCACCCCACCCCACCTGCCTGCATGCAGGCGAGGACTACAACGAGCAGCACGGCAACAAGTGGCCGCTGGAGCTGATGCGGCTCTACCTGGAGGCCACCCGCGGGGGGGAGGCGGCGGACAGGCTCTTCACGGACATCGAGGTGAGGAGGAGGAGCAGGCTGGGAAGGATGGATGGAAGGAAGTGGTGTGGTGCGCAGGAGGGATGTGTATCGTAGGTTGAGGTTTACGGCCCCCTTGAGTTGGCCCCCCTAACTCAATGTCCCACATGCATCCTCACAACCGCCCGCCCCCCCCCCCCCAGGACGTGATCCTCAAGTCGCTGCGCGCCTGTCAGAACATCATCGTCAACGACCGGCACTGCTTCGAGCTGTACGGCTACGACATCATCATTGACGAGCAGCTCAAGCCCTGGCTCATAGAGGTCAACGCCTCGCCCTCGCTCACCACCACCACGCAGGTAGGGTAGCGGAGCGGAGGCCAGGGTGCCGTGTGTGACACGTCAAAGGCGGGGTACCGTAGATGGTGTGTATCGCACCCCCCTCCGACGGCAATACACCAGCGGGCGGCCCTGGAATGGCTGGAGCGGGTACAGATCTCTCCCTCTCTCCGGCTGTCGTGCCCTCCACACTCCCACGTAACCCGCCAAACCCCGATGCATGTTATATGTTCCCAACCCCTGATACCGGTACCCTCCTGCACCACACCCCGCCCTGCTCCCCCTCGCCGCACTCCAGGCTGACAGGCTGCTGAAGCACCGAGTGATCAGCGACACGCTCAACATCATCACGCCGCCCGACTGGCTGGCGCTCACCGACCCGGCGGGTCTGCCGCCGGACATGCGGGATGTGGACCCGGCGGAGTGAGTGATGGGCGACGGAGGTGGATGAGGGGGGCTGCTGAATTAATGCTGTGAGAGGATTCATGAAGGACTTTTGAAAGAAGTCCAGAAGTCATCACTCCGCCGCCTCCCACTTTGCGCACCTATTGTAACCTGTCCCTCCCTCCCTCTCGCACAGGTACCCCTTCCGCGAGCGAGTGGGCAGCATGCGCCTCATCTGCGACGAGAGCGAGGACTACCAGCGCTTCCGAGCCGCCCGCCAGGCCAAGGAGGCTCTAGCAGCGGCGGCCGCTGCTGCTGCTTCAGGCGCCAACACGGCGGGTGGCGCAGCACTGCGAGGCAGCCGGGAGCGCTGTGACACCCGGGGCTACCCGGACCGAGACGACGGCATGGTGGGCTGCTGGGGAGGACGAGATGGCGAGGGAGGTGTGGGCAGTAGGATGATGCCCACGGAGACGTCGCGACGGCCTCCGCGGCAGCAGTCGGCAACGGCAGCAGCAGCGGGAGCAGCACGGGCGTACCACCACGCCGGGAGCGCGATGTCGGCGGTGGGGGATTGGGGGCGGTCGTCGCTAGGGGTGGTGTACGACAGAGGTGCCTTTGGGGCGGGCGGAGGAGGTGGTGGTGGGGGTGCTGCTGGGGGCTGCTGGGAGGGCAGTCGCCAGGTGCGACGCAGCACGGTAGGCGGCAGTGGTGCCGCTGCTGCTGCCGCCGCTGCGGGGGCTGCAGGCGGCCGGCCTTGGTCCGCCATGTGAGGTCTACGGCGCGGGTACTATACCGGGTGGATACAGGAGCCCCAGTCAGCCCCAGTATACCATGGAGGGCCACACAAGCGCACACCACCTTCCTTCTGCTGTACCACCTACCGGTACCATCCCGCCCAGCTCGGCCCGAGCCATGTCGCAACAGCGAGCAGAGCTTCCTAGCGTGGGTGTTGCGCCCGGGGCCAGGAGGTGGGGCGCAGGTAATATGGCTGCGAGGCCACACCGCACTGCGCGCCCAGGGCCTACAGAGCTCCTACGGCGGCAGCGGCACCAGCAGCACAACGGCGACGGGCACAGCGCGCAGCGGCAGCAACACGTGCGTGGTGCTAATGCGCTCCAGCGGTGCGGGGCTGCGGACGTGCCTGCCTGTACAGCCCCTCCTCACCCCTGCCCATCCCTCGCCCCCTCCAGCCCCCACACATCAGGAGGGTCCTTGAAACCCTTCCTTTCTGCAACAGCCGGTACCTGCCCGGACCCCAGGCGTGCTTGCACGCCCGCCGAGCTATCTACGCCATCGTTGAGGAAGAGGCGGATGCGCTTGGAGCATGCTTGCTGCCACCCCCGAGGTCAGTCCCTTGCGCCGGAACACGCCCTGCACCTGGGGTCTACATCGCTGGTCCATCATTACCGTGACGGCAATGGGTGCAGCCATGGCACTTGGCGTCCAATCTGGGTTCAGGCCCTGCCACCTTCCTCCTACACTCCCTTGGTTCGGCTACCAACCATACCCAAACACCACAGCGCAAGGCGGTGCTCCCGGGGGCGAAATTGTCAGCCGCAGCGCCCACCACTTGCAACAATACCCCAGCACTGCATGCTGTGAGGGGGTCCCTCGTGGACGGTAGCTCTTGCCTGCCAGGGATGCCCCGAGGCAGCTTAACGTCTTGGGGTTACCTTCGATTGTAGCCCTGTCCATAGACGCCTCAGGAACCGGACAGGGTGTAGGCGCTCTCTCGGTGGATGCTGTCGCTACAGTTTACCTAACATGAACTGCATTGTTTGGCTTAACAATCTAACCCACCTACTTGGGTGTTTTCACCAACGCGCGGTGCAAGTGTAGATGCTCGGCCGCATACACATTGCGGGATTTTGCTGGTTTTCGGCCGAAGTTTGAATGGTTAGGACCATGAGTCGTCCTGTGACAAGCCTGGGTTTGAAAACTAGTAGGGTACGGTATCTACCAGCTGTTCACCCGGCCTAACTCGAGGCGTGCCATATGGGCATGCTGCACTGGCTACTTGGACTCCTGCTGTGAGCCTGTGATAAGAAGTAATGGACAGCTGTAGCGGAGGTCGTATCCTTCCTCTAACAATCCCACGTCATTTCAATTGCCTTGATTGGCAGTGCTATGTGTCCTATGCTCCTCTCACTTCCCTAGAGTGCCGCCAAGCTAAGGTTCAGCAGTAATCTGCGGTACATATAGCCCTCAGCTCCCATAATGCGACGGTGAAGGACCAGCACCCTGCCCCTACGAATGCGAGCGTGCTGCAACACCTCGTCATTGGATAGCTCGCCAACAGCTATGTACCTCGCTTTCACCACTGCCCGCTATAGATTGCCCAGTCTCCGTTCCCACCCACTCAAACCATGCATTTGGGATGTACGTGGTCCCGACTGCGTGCTGTTCTAGCATGTACCGATAGGCCGCTTTGACATCCTCCATAAAGTTGGGGGGCTTATGGTCTGGGGTGGTGCCATGACCACGCCTTGCGGCTCGTGCGACACACCACTACGGCGATCAGGCACGTCGTGGCAGCCGTGCTGCCCACGTGCCACTCGTCGTCGCTGAAACCCACCAGGGCCTCTTCCCCCATTAACACACGGGCCGAGCGACATGTTACCGGAACAGGGCTTTCGCCGATCCTCGCGACGAAGTCAGTGTTACAGCCTGCTGCACGTTGTGGACGGGGGTGTGAGGGTCTGTGCGCCCTCCCAGACCTCCACGCCAACAGTCACAACGTATTGTAAAATATACTATGTACGCAAAATTATTGATTGAAAGCAATCAATAGTATGAGGCGTACGCGTGCCGGCGTGCGAAATGACTGAAATACCTGTTGGGCCTCCCGGCCGGCCAAGCGATGAACACCGCGACCAAACCAGAACGCAAGCACCTACCAAATAGCGCAACGAAGCATATCACGCTAAATTTGACTTATAAGTCAGCACAGGTCAACGCCGACCAACTACAACTGATTAAACATCTGGTATTGCAGCTTGAGCGTTGTAAGGAGGAAGTTCTGCCTCATTAAGTTCATGGAACTTGTATCTGCTAAAGCAGTGGAGTTGGAAGAGCTTCGATCCCAGTGGGCGTCGCTGACTAATGTCATACTAGAAGTAAGCTTTCGCATAGTGGTGTCCCCTCTTGCTTGCACGTTCAAAATAGCCCTATCGGCGTTGCTAAACGCTTCACTCCCACACTTCTGTGCTTTACGCTCAGTTCTTATAGCTACACCTTGTGCATGCATTGGCCTGCAGCGTGTCGGTTGCGAGCTACCGCTGCGCGACATCCTGTCCGCCCGCCTGGTTTGCCGCCAATGGCGCCAGCACGTGGGGTCCATGGTCACCCACTTGCCGCACGCGCACCAGCCGGGTCAGCGCGACTTGGCGGAGCTGGACGCGCAGCCCCAACAGCGGGGCCACGTGTGGGACGCGTCGCTGGCAGGCCTGACCGCCTGCCTGCCTCGTCTTTCCGAGGTCATGGGTGAGTCATCAGTAGCCTAGCAAGCACTCCGAACACCTAAACCATCTTTCGTCTCTTCCTCTTTCGCGGCGCCTTTCACAGCGCCCCACCTGCAACCCCCACCCAACACGCCTTCATCCGCCCCCATCTCCCCTTCCCTTCCCCGTCCCGTCCCCGCCCCCTCCCATGCCGCCAGTGTACGCGGGCAGTCGCGTCTCCTCCGCGGTCCTAGGCGCGCAGCTGCTCAGCCTGCCCGCCCGCCTGCCCGGCCTCACCAAGCTGGAGCTGCGCTTCCTGAAGCCCGACGGCAGCAATGCGGTGCTGGGGGAGAGCCTGCAGCAGCTGCAGCCGGCGCTCAGCAGCCTGACGGGTCTGCGCACGCTGTACCTCATCAAGGTGGGCAGCGGGGTTTGGGGGCCAGCGGGGTTTGGGGGCCAGCGGGGGTTGGGGGGGGGGCAGCGGGGGTTGGGGGGGGGGGCAGCGGGGGTTGGGGGGGGCAGCGGGGGTTGGGGGGGCAGCAGGCGGTGGACATAACGGGCCAGGGCACTTGGCGGCACACGCACAATCGCAACAGTTCGAGCTGCATCCCTACAGTCCGCTGGGGCCCGCTGCACCCTCTCCTTTCTCCTTCCCCTCCCTTTCCACGCCCCCCCTCCCCCCCGATCACCCTCAGGGCGACTCCCCGGAGGCCTCCCAGTTCCCCCGCGTGCTGCCCCCGCTGACCGGCCTGCGCGACCTGAAGCTCCTATCGAGGCTGGGATCCTACGGCCTGGGTGCCGAGGAGCTGGAGGCGCTCGCCGCCGCCGCCTGCCCGCAGCTGCAGCGGCTGCAGGTGGAACTGTGTCCCGATGGCGAGGAGTTCGGGCCGCGGGGGGCGGAGGAGGTGCTGCGGGCGATGACGAGGCTGCGGGGGCTGCGCTGCCTGCAGCTGGATTTCACGGCGATCAGCCTGGGGGCGGAGGTGGTGGAGGCGCTGCGGGAGCTGCGGGAGCTGCAAGTGGGTGGTGGAGGAGGAGGAGGAGGAGGAGGAGGGAAGCGGTGTGTTAGGGCTGGTGGCTGGGCGCGGCACTAGGGGGAGGTGTAAGTTGATCCAGTGGTATGTCGGGAGTGAGAGAGTTGCGTTCTCCGGTCATCCTAAGCGCGATGCCGTGGCCTGGCTAGGCGTGTACGTCTGCGCTCCTCCCTCGGGTCCCTCCCCTTCATGCCTGCCCCCACCCACCCCAGGAGCTCAGCCTGGTAGTGAACGACCCCGAGCACCTGGCCGACCTCTTCTCGCTGCCCGCCCTGGAGCGCCTGAGCCTGCACTACCAGAGCTTTGACATCCCGGCACCGTACGACTTGGGGCCGCCGCCGCCGCCGCCGCCGCCGCGACTGCATGAAGACGACGAAGACGAGTGGGACAGCGAAGATGATGAGGACAGCGAGGACGAGGGCCCCGAGCAGACCGACACCGTCACGTGCCTGACGCTGGCGATGAGCATGCTAGCTCAGCTGGTGCGGGGAACCGCAAAGCGGCCGGTTCTGCTGTCCCTGGACGTGTCATGCTGCGTCGTGAATGCGGATTTGCTGGCTCGGCTGGCGTTGTTAACCTCGCTGACGTCCTTGAGTATAGAGGAATGTCGATGGACGAGGGTGCCAGACCAGAGCGGGGCCGACTACATTGATGCGGCAGCCATACGGCAACGTCGTACTCGGCCTTGGATCGTGCTGACGAGCTTGACCAGGCTGACATCCCTGCACTTGCAAATCAACGGAGCGCCTCCCATTCCGGAAAGTGACGTCACGGCGCTTGCGGCTGCCCTGACTGGCCTCAGGTCGCTCAAGGTGTTCAATCCGATGCATCGGGATTGGCAGCCGCGCCTGCCGCCGGTGAACTTCAACGCCTACGTGTCCAACTGGCGGCAGCTGGAATCCCTGGTGCTGTGCAGTCCCTTTCCATACGACCCACGGGTCACGCTCGACGCGGCGCTCCTGCCGCCCAGCCTTACCAACCTCGGCCTAGCCCACCTGACCCTTACCAGGGGCTCCTCCTCCTGCTGCGCCACTGCAGCAACTAGCGAGGCAGCTGGCGACAAGTCCTCCTCCTCCTTCGAGGCACCAGCGATGATGCCAGGCGCGGGCACAACAGAGCAGCAGCACCACCACCACCACCACCACCACCACCACCACCAGCAGCACCAGCAGGCCGCCGCCTTCCCACCCGACAGCAGCAGCGATGCCCCCAGCGGACCTGCATCCAGCCTGCCGGCCCTCCCTGCGCTCGAGAGCCTGGCACTCAAGTGTGTCCGGCTGGGGTCCGGCGTGTCGCTGGGGGCGTTGCTTGGCGCCGCACCGGGCCTGCGGAGTCTGGGGGTCCGCAATCCGCTGCCCAGGCTCACTGACAGCTGCTGCGCGGCGTTCTCCGCCCTAACAGCCCTCACCACGCTGCGTGTGGAGCAGGCGGCGAGTGCGTACGACGCGATGATGCAAGCCGAGGCAGGAGCTCCGGCATGCGAGCAGCGCCAGGACAGTGGAGAAGAGCAGCAGCAGGAGGGGGCAGACGAGCGGGAGGGGGCTGCTGATGGGGCTTCATTGGAGGGTACCGGCAGTGAGGGTAGTTACTATGACGGTGAATGGTTGTCGGGTGCTGGTCTGACGGTGCTCACCGGGCTCCGAAACCTGAGGCAGTTGCAGTGGCTGCCGTACGCTGGTGAGCAAGTACGACCGGAGCAGGTGGAGGTGCTGTCGTCGCTGCAGCGGCTGCAGCTGCTGACGCTGCCGTCTTATGATGTGAATGATGACATGGGGAGGGTGGTGCTGGAGACGGTGCGGGAGAAGATGCCTCTTTGCGATGTTATCAAGTTTAGGCGAGGATTCAGTATGGAAGGCGAGGACGTGGATGAGGAGACGGAGGAAGGGTCTTCTGCATGACGAGCGCGTGACGTTGCGACATGCGAACAAGTTCCATAACCGGCTCTGGTGTCCGATGTTAGGCGGGAAGTACGGCTGTTGTCCGCGTGGGGTCATAGCGGCGGTCATGTTTTTCATGCAAGACGGACGAAGGAAGGTCGCATGTTGAAAGAGTATGTGAAATACTGGCGGCAACATGTAAAGAGTGTTGTGCATGTGTCTGCAACCACCGCGTCTTGCTGCGCACGCACGGGACGCCGCACCCACCAACCCCGGGCACATGCCCCGTTCCGTGCCAGGGGTGCTAGCTGCTAGATCCGCGATATGCATTTGGGATGCCAGCCACCACTGGGAGGCGGATATCCATGCTTTGCGGGAAGGCGAGCCGCCCTCTGCTAGGGTGGGGGCATGCGCTGCGACAAGGTGAGCAGCCTGTGCTAGGGGTCAGTGCGCCGTGAAAGCAATACTGAAAGCGGTGCTGCCGGTTGCTAGGGGCCCTGCGCTGAGGAAAGGCGAGCCGTGCCTGCGAGGGGCCGTGTGCTGATGAAAGACGGGCCGCGCCTGCTAGGGGCCATGTGCTGAGGAAAGGCGAGTCACCTCTTCTGGGGGTCCCAAGCGCTGCCGGAAAGCGAGCCGCCCTGGGGGGCAATGTGCTGACGGAGGCTGGAAAAACTGCAGCTCCCGCTAGGGGCTATGTGGTGCGGGTAAGGTAGCCACCCCCTGCTAAGTGGCCATGCGTCGCGGGGAACGTGAGCCGCCCCTGCTGGGGGTTTCCTGCGCTGCTGGAAAGGCGAGCCGCCCCCTGCTAGGGGGGGCATGCCCTGCTGGACAGACGAGCCAACTGCTGCTAGGGAGCTGAGTGTTGCGGAAATGGCGGCATACTAGATTACGGTGTTGACTGCCAAAAATCTTCAGCTGGCGCGGTGAGCGACAACGGAGTGTGCTGCGACTGGTGCCGGCGTTGTCACTTAAGTATAGCGGACGGTAGAGCACTGTGCCCGTTGTGTTACAGGCCGGATAGTATTGTTCACATTGGCGTATACGACTGTTTGGATCCAGCCGGTTGGACGAGCAGTCGATTAATCCTCAGTTACCGTCCCACGGGCGTAACGCTTACATCCCATAATGCAGCCTGAGGGAGCTGTGCCCCACATTAACCTGGATCCAGCCGTGTACCGTGTAATGCTCAGCCGTATACCGTACTGCTTAACTAGACGCTTTGCGGAGACGCTTTGATAAGATGTATACGCTTTAGCTCTCTTTATACATTGCAGGGTTAGTTTAACAGGCGTTAGGTAAAGCCCTGCGACGGTTCGCTGGTATCAGCAAGGATATACTCGACTAAAGCCACAGGCGCACAGCAGCAACGCACGCTAGCTGTGCCAAACACGTTTATTCTTATATCGCTGTTGGGGCTTGACATCCATGTCGCTGAACGTTCTGCCACGAGGGACGTCGCTACCATTATCTGTGTTTCCATGTCGCCCTTGGAGGCCATGCTCGCTACGCACCTGCATTGCAAAGGCAAGAGTACGTACGTGAAACAGCTAGTCTCCCGTGCTCGCGCTCGTTGCGCACGTACGCCGACAAAGAGCTCCGTCTCCATCTGGTGCAGGTACCCCGGGTGGCCCCCACAGCCGAACCGCCAAGGATCACCGTGCGAACGCAAGCTGTGCGGGGAAGCAGGGCAGGCGGAAGCGGCGGCCGCAGCTCTGAACCCAACGGCGGGTGGACGAGCGTCACCATAGATGCCGGTGCCGGCTCCCTCATCAACAAGTCTATCAACAAGGAGCTCCTTCGGTGTAAGAGTGTGGCTGAGCTTGGCGACGTCTTCACGTCCAATGAGGCCGAACTGGACCCCATCAACGTTGCAACTGCCTGGATGCAGCTGGGAAAGCTACATGGCAGCGGATGTGGGAAACAGGATGCGTGCAATGCGCTGGGACAGCGTATGATGGGCAAAACGCTGGCAGTGGCGCACCGCATGCAGCTGCGGGAACTGAGGTCCGCGCTCTGGGGAATGGCCAAGGCCAGCTTCGCCCTTGATAAACATCCCCTTGGACCCTACTTTGCGGAGGCTGCAGAACAAATCCTGTCAGGGCTGGTAGCGAAGAATGAAACTTGGTTTGGCATGGACGCTTCAATGGTTTGGTATGCCCTTGGCCATATGCCGTATCCGTGGGACAAGGAGCTTTTGGGCTCCATTGCAAGGAAGACTTTGGAAGGAGTGGATAGTTGGGAGGGCCCCAAGGTACTCGCGCAGTGCATCATGGGTATGGGCTCCAATGCAGTTACCCTAACTGCCAGCGAAAAAGGCAAAGTAGTCCAGGCGATTACTCGGATCACGCACAACAAGAATGATAAACGGGAGCTCTGCCGGGCTCTGGAGCTCGTCCTGTCTGGAGCCCACTTTCTTGACGTAGACCTCCCGTACGACACTGTAAGGCACCTGCACGACACAGCTCTTCAGATGCCTGTTCCGTACGCCCAGGAGCTTCAACGCACCAACTTCGCAGTGATTCTCCATCGTGCCTGCCAGATGGGCTTCCAGCCAACCCCTGAGGAGGCCGAGTCGTGGTGCAGACGGCTAATCGGTGACTTCGGTCCGAACTGGACGGGCAAGGAGCTCACGTGGACCATGTTTGCCATCTCTTCCGTCCGAGGCTACAGACCACCGCCTGACGTGTTACAGCGCCTTCGAGCGCAGCTGCTGACAACACGCAATTATGATGAGGAAGATGTCACCCGTGTGAAGATGGCCATGAAAGCCTGGAACCTGCGGATGACAGACGCTGAAGTGAAGGCGCTACGTGTGCGATAGGTGGGCATGCTGTTGAGGGGGAGGTAGCTATGGAGGGGCAGGGCCCCTTTGGCACGGATGCCCCGAGGCAGCATAATGTTGTTGTTTTATATTCCTTGTGTAGTTGTACTACTATTAGACGCCTTAGCAACCGGAAAGAGTTCAGACTCTTTTTACTATCCTATGCATGCATGCATGCGAGGGGTTGCTTGCATAATCCATAATGCGTCCCTCTTGTATTTGCTTAGTAGCCATGCTTGTGCCTCCCGTCAGGTGTGTTTGTCCACAGCCGATGGGCACACCCTATATGGTAACCTAGGTAGGGGATGTCAGGCTTACTCGAAGCGTGTTGTGTCATTTTGGTAGGAGTCGTCGGAGAGAGTGGTGCTGTGGAGGATAGGTTAGCCGGGTGATTGTACTAGCACCTCTAGTAGTGGTGGTGTACGGACACATGCATGTTCAGTGATTGCCGTACAGGCTTTGACGACCCTTACGGCTGTTAGCATGGACACAAACAATGCACATATACGCACGTGAAGTCGAATGGCAAGTAATAAGGTGGTTCTTTAAATGTTGCGACAAGCAAGACGACCCACGGGTCGGCAGCAATCGCCTTTCCTATGAAAAATGGCCTTGGACTTACAGCCGACTGCAGGGACGGTCACATGCGCTGAGAGCAAGCCAGTGTTATGGATTTGAGGGACCTGAGTGGAACGTCATACCGGTTTATATCCGCATACGTACATAGCATCAACTCCTGCAATGGCATCGTGAAAGACTACCAAGAAGCGACATGACATGCATTCAACCAGCCATGCACACGCAATATTCCTGCAGCCTGAATGCAGTACAACAAAGCGTTGATGACATGGCCAACCACGCCCCGTCAAACACCGCCTAACAAGGCCGCCTTACCTTCTATGCCGCGTGACGCCCTCGCTGAGACCCGGGACGGATTACCGGCGGCAAACCCCCTGCTGTCAGCATGCATTGCCAGGTTTACCTCCCACACACGAAACCACTGGAAACCGTCGGCAGGTCAGCTTTCCCACTCCCCAACAGCTCCACTGATTGCACCAGTTATCCAGTTTGTACCTCGCATCACACTTCGACCACCTCTCTCTGACCCTCCCTCAATCCATGCCTCGAATTCATCGTCCTGGAAGTGTCGCCTCCTCCTCCACCGCCGCCAGCCGCGTCTGCTGTTACAAAACCAACTGAGCAGCCCGGGGCTCCACTGCGCCTCCGTCGTCCTCAAACGGCACCGCTTCCCATGCATAACGTAGCAGGGGCTGCTGCTGCTGAGGCTGTCCGTTATTAGCGGGGGAAGTGGAGGTGGAGGCTGGGGGTGGGGGCTCGCCGCGTGCTTCTGCCAGCAACCGCCGTACCTACGCTGCCTCTGCTTCGTTGCGAAAGGTTGCCAAGGCGTGCGGCCGGATAGATGTCCTCGGCGAAAGGCAGCGGGTAGAGCAGCAGCGCGTGAGGAACATCGGCAGAGTCGCTGGGAGGGAGGAGGACATACAGTCGAAGGCTGTAGTTGGAGGAAGTACCGATAGATGGCTTCTCTTCCGTGGTTCCTTCTGGAATGTGGTGTGCTGGTTTGGGTTGGGTTTGGAGCTGCGCGGGGCACCTCATGCGGCTACATTCACCACGACTTGTCCTGACTTTGAGCATGCATCATTTTGCATTGGCGCGGCCGAATGGATGGCGCGGCTGAGGAGGCTGTATGTGTGCATGGATACGGTACGTGGGTTTATAGTATATGAACGGCGGGTTCGGTGCATGGGTGCTAGTCACTTCTTGCATGCAGCGGTAATAAAAGACGTTCATGAAAGGATTTCAGGCCGCTTGGGCGACAGTAAGTGTAGTAGGCGTAGAGGGGCTGCTTCTGTCGGTCGCATGCGGCAGTTAAGGGGTTGTCCTTGGCTAACGTTCAAGACGTGATTCCTCTAATCCAGCATTCGGATTCCCGTCGCGCTAACGCTGGCCTAAGCTGGCTGCTAGCAGGTCAAACTTCTAAGAGTTAGCGTGAGCATCCAAAGGCTTTAGGGACTATGCCAAGGTGTTTGCGTGTTCTCCAAGTATACGTATAAGCTGCCTTTACATTGGAACGCGGCAGCAGGAGCGCACAGCCTTTGCTTTGGTGGGTTCCGCCAACAGGACGTTCTAAGTGACCCATGGGTCAGGCCATCGCTTCAGGCCATCAAGCCACATACACGAGGCCCGAGGGCCTGGCCTGGCTCGGCCCCAAGCCTGCAGGCCTGGGACGAGTTGCCTATAAAGCATCCCCATTGTTTGCAGTGGACTGACGTCTGCAGGTACCGGTATTGCTGCATGCTTCATAGAATCGATAACGCTTCAGCCACACCGCAGCTGACGCAACCCTTTGCTTGCAACACGAACGCCTACGCAATGTATTGGTACTGGCTGTTTGGACTGTTCACTAGCAGCGCTCACGTGCAAATACTGCCTACATATCATGGCTGCTGCATGGATGTGAAAGGTTGGCGGCGGTTAGAAGCTGAGCTGCGGGACGTCGCTGGGAGAGGGAGCGACGCGGACAGCCGTTCTGCTACTCGCAGCCCTAGCTAGCCCTAGCAGCGCATCTTTCTTTTTGCTTCAAGCCTGCAAGGTCTTGCAAGCCGCAGCACGCATGACCAGCACAGGCGTCGGAGCTTGCAGTGTAATTTTTAAAACGACAGCTAGCTACGACTGGTGCTCGATTCCCTAGGCGACCTTGTCATACAGCGTCAGGACGTTACGTCGCAGTCTCTTGGATTTGGGTCATGTGCCATAATCCATTTCCTGCATGCCCCAGGGATGACACCACAACCCCTGTGATTTGACTCACATCCAGCCAAGATTCGCACCGGCTCACTAGCTTCCTGCGCAGGCAAACAACTCAACAACCGCATCGCGGTAAAGAGGGCTACAAGGTGTATCAGTTAAGATAACTTGTAGCTGAAATGCGGCACCTTGGGAGGACAACCCTTGTTTCTCCGACACACGGGATCTCATCCACGTCGGCTCACATGCCGTCACGGCTGCTTCCACGGATGCTATATAATCCCTCCAACACCCTTCCCTTCCCATAGGTGTAATTAATCCAAACATCTTGCCCTTTCGCCCACATACAGAACTACACTACCCTTGCAACAGCCCCAAACCCTACTGTTCCTCTGTTCCAAGCCCCGATTTGCCTGTATAAAAGACACAAGCCAAGATGACGCGCCTTGCTTCAACGGCGCTGCTGCTTTGTGCGCTCCTTTGTGGTGTTGCCGCGGCCCGTGAGTCGCACTGGGCCCGGTTTGAGAGTGCTCTGCGCACCGGCAAGGCCGATGATGCCCTTATGGTAAGTGCTTTCCCTTTTTAATTCACGTGTTTGAATTGCCATGCTACTTAGGATGTATGTTATTATAGCTTCTAGCGAGGTTGAAGCGAGGTTGAAGCCGCAACCACTAACCGTTCGTTATCGCGGGAACCCTAAAACCTCGTCTTGACTTCGTTGCGGCCCCATGTTGCGTCTGCGTCTTGCAGTAATTCTGCTGGGAAACCTTGAGCAAACGGATCTGCCCTTAGATGCCTTAGCTCGCAGCACACATACGTGGCATGCTTTCGACAATCGTAACCGTTGCGTAACTTTGTCGCGATCCGTGGCGACAAACACTTTGCCGTCTGCTTGTCGCCTTTGCCCTGAATCCTATTTCTTTTTCAGCTCATAACTTTCAACCTGCCTTTCCCTCTCGTCACTTCTTCCCTGCCTGCTGCCTGCCTGACTGTCTGCCTGTCCCTTCCGCCTCTTCCCGCCTGCTGCTGCTGCTGCTTCCCTCTTTAGATGCTCCGGTCCAGCCTGCGCGGTGGCGAGGAGAAGAAGAAGGAGGAGGGCTGCAGCATCATCGCAGTCAAGTACGACGTGCCGCCCACCATGACCCAGAAGTTCATCGAGGCCTGGTGAGGGGTGCATCGGGAGGGTTGGGTGGGGGTGGGTGCGTGCTACAGCCGTTTGTATGGGGGACAGCAAAGAGGGAGAGAAGTAGGGGGGCCGCTAATGGGCGGGCCGCTAGTGGGAATGAGAGGGCCGCGAACGACGTAATGAGATTTGAGATGGCCGCTCTCCCACCTCGCCTCCCCCCCCACTCACAGGCAAAAGATGGAGGAGGGTACCATGAAGGAGGAGGGTCTGCAGATGTACGACCTCAAGAAGACCATCAACGACAACGTGTACTTCTGGACGTACGGCGAGTGGGAGAACATGGAGGAGTACATGAAGCACTTCGAGTGGGTGCTGCTACTGGGGGGGTGTGTGTTCCTGAGAGGGGTGATTTCCTGGGACTTGAGTGGGGGTGAGATGGGGATCGGGGGTACGACACTTATGGAACTGGCAGCCGTGTACGTGGAGGGGTCGGAGGGGTCAGCACAACTGCGATGCTGCGATTCCGGTAATCCCTCATGCTTGTGTTTCAAACGACGCATCTCCCACCCACCCCCGCTCCTTCCCTCCCCTCCCCTCGCCTCCCCCGGCCTCCAGCTCCGACTACGTGACCGAGTTCCGTGACTTCTGCAACGACAACGACATCAACTGGCACATGTACCCCATGACCAACATCACCGACAACTCGTCCATGCGCAAGGTGGGGTAAAGAGGAAACAACTAACTGACTGAGGGGTAAGGCGTCAACATGGGTTGCAACATGTGAGCCAGCCCGACCCGCCCAGCCCCAAGGTGGGTGGGGGAAGGGAGGGAGGGAGGGGAAAAGAAGAATATCCAATGTGTGGGCGGAGGGGGGGGGTCGAAGAGCTTACCAGACCATAGGAAACCACAGGTTCAGGCGAAGGGGTAGGGTGGGGACTGGGAAGAGTGCATGCGGGGTGGGGCACGAGTGGGAAGGGGGTTGACCAGCAGCCGGCGGCCATCACAATCCTCTCAATGCAGATATTGTTTCTCTCACGATCTTGCCACTTCATCTCGGACCAGCAGTTGGCTTGCCCCTACCCACCCGCCCCAACACCCCCCGTGCAGAAGACCGAGGCGACCGGTGGCAAGAGCGGCGACGACGTGCGTGACATGCCCGCGCACGTCATGTTCCAGTACCACGTGCCACCATCCAAGGTGGGGGGGAAGGGGGAAGGAGGGGGTTGCAGCGAAGTGGGGATGGGTTGGGGGGTTGCGAAGTGGGGATGGGTTGGCGACACGTGGGGCAGCCGGTTGTGAATGAAGGGGAGGACACTGGGGAGCTGCTTCGCACCGGGTCGGGGCGTAGCACTGTGGCGGCGGTGAATGGGTGATGCGGGAAAGGCAGGGAGCAGGAAGGCGAGCGGGGCTGTGTTATAAAAGTGTGGTTCATCAGCGAAGTCCGTGCTGGTTGGCACTGCTGCTGCTGCTGCTGCTGCTGTTTAGCTCGCTCGCGTGTTATTTCTTCCTCTTCCCCCCGTTTCCCTCCCTGCCTACTGCCTACTGCTCCTGCCCCTCCCCCTCCGCTCCCCCAGATGAACGACTTCATGGATACCTGGAGTGAGATGGCGGAGAAGACCTGGGACGAGAAGAAGAACACCATCTACGCGTGAGGGACTGCGGGAGGAGAGGGAAGGGGGGCCAAAGAACATGTTAGCGGGCATACGTTGTGGGGGGCATGGGCGTTGTGCACATGCGATTGGGATCCAGCAACAGTTTACACTGTGCTGCTAATGCTGGTCTGCCGCGCGTGGCCTTCGCCTTTTCCGCCTCGTTTTGTTGCATGTTCATCACCCTCGCGCGCGCGCACGCCCTCTCCACCTCCCGATCTCCTGGCACCACGTGTCTCCACTCCTCCGCCTCCTCCGCCCTCCCCCACTCTCCCGCCACCTCCCCAGCCTCCGCAAGTTCATGACCATGAACCACCACTTCGTGGCCTACGGCACCTGGGAGGACTTTGACGCCTACATGGACCACTTCACCTCGCGACACATGATGAAGCTGCGCGAGTAAGTGTGGGGTGTTGTGGTGACTGGTGTGGATGGCTGGGTGCGTGCGCACATGCATGCAGCCGTGTGAAGAAGTAGCTTTGGCTGGGGCGAAGGAGGTGAAGGGTTTTGAGCTGTGCAAAGGACAGGAACACGCATTGCTGCTGCTTGCTTGCCAGTCACGCTTGGCTTTTGGTCGGTGAAGCCCTGTCAACTAGGGTTGGGATACGCCGCTTGTTGCCAACCTGCAACGTTCTTTCCCAACCGCTACCCAACCGCCCCCAACCAACCTCCAGGTTCCTGCGTGACAACGACATCATGTGGTTCGCTGAGCCGCTCAAGTCGCTGAGCACCCAGAAGAAGGGACAGTAAGAGGAGAAGGTGATGGTGTGATGATGGGCGGAGGCCGGAGAGGAGAGGAAGAGCGTCGTGGCCGCCCATGCTACTGTAGCTGGGACATGTTGACAGCGACGTATTGGTATGTTGGGAGGTTGAGCGAGTGCCGGTTCAGCTACGTCACTTGTATGTTGATGCATACCTAGCTTGCACATGCAGGTAGAGCTTAGGCAGGCATGAGTCGCAACCAGGCTAGAAGCCGTGTAGATGAAGGGAGATGGGAGATGTGGGCAAACGGCACAAGATACGTGGTTGATACATAGTTGTTGTCGATAGGTGTAAGGCAAGAGGACAAGTTGGAAAGAGTTGCATTTTGACGTTGCATGGGAACGAGTTGGGGACTATACGGTAGTTTTACATGTGCACAATCTGCTTCTTACCTCTCGTACCATGGTCCGTATGTAGGGTTGTTGTACAATAATGTACGATCTACGGCATTTTGTACGTTAAAGCGGATTGCCGCATTGCATCGGGTACACAACCCTTCATACCGTGTAACAATAGACGATGCGCTGAGAAAAAAACCTGTTAATATGCAGTGAACAAGATGTGCAGACAGATGCCCCGGCAGGTATGCCGCCTTCCTAGGTTGTCACCAACACAGAGGCATGCGCACATCTACCAGGTATAACACCCACCACCGCTTCTGTACAAACCCTTTCACTTCTTTACCGCCAAGCACCTTCTTTGTATACCTTTTGTCCTATTTATTTCCTGATCACCGGTAAACGCTCCCTTCATGGACAAGGGCAGTCCTCATCAGGCACCATTCAAAACTCCCCCCTCTGGGCGACCACCTTGAAGAGACCCTTCTTGGCTGCCCGGGTGCTCTCGGCGCACTGCGACCCCTCCGCCTCCTGCCCCCTCATTCCTCATGCCCCCACTGCACAGTGCTGTGATTTGCCCCCTCCCCACACGCCACATGCTTCCACCACCATTAACAACAATGCAAACCCCTTCTTACGCGCTAGCTACGTCCCCCACTACTCTGTATGTACGGTACTCTTATGGTTTCTTCTTTTTCATGGCTTCACGTTTCTTCCGTCGGGCCTCCGCCGCTGCTCGTTTCGCCTCCTCCTCCGCTAGCCGCTTGGCCTCCTCCTCCGCCTGCGTGTCGCGCGAGCGACACAAGAGCCGATGAGGGGACACAAGTCGTGTGAGAGACATGCGAAAGATGATACGAGTAATATGTTCCAACACTCCCTAGCGTTAACATACCGTATGCATACGACTACAGAGGAGCGGCATCAAGCAAACAAACACACGCCCGGAGCGCCACATCCTTCCGTGCAATGATTTGCAAATCAGCGTTTGACGCTTTTTCGTCACCAGAGGCGCCCGCGACTCCCCCCTCCCCTCCCCTTCCCTCCCCTTCCCTCCCGTCCCCGGTAACAACACCCACCCGGATCCGCTCCTCTTCGAGCCGCCGCCGCTCCTCCTCCTCCGCCTACGTATCAAGGCATCATGCAACCGGATGATAATGAAACAACGCAGCCGTAATACGTCACACATCAGGCATCAGAACACCCTTACTCGGTCGTGTAGCAGTAGCAGCAGCGGGGGGACTTGTATGTGTGGGGGCTGGGGGGTACCCCTGATGTGTGTGCGGGGCTGCTGTTATCGCATGCATGTGTGCGACCCGCGGGTCACCAAGCAAGGCATTCTCGGCAACGCATACGGCACAGCAAACTGGTGTGCAGGCAGCACAGGCGCATGAGGCTGCCGCCTCCTGCCCCCAAACAGTCATCAGCAACCCATGATAACCCCCTCCCCGCATGTTGACGCCTTATCCCTCAGTCAGTTACTTGTTTCCTCTTTACCCCCCGCCGCACCCACCTTGAGCCTTGCCCGCTCCATCTCCTCGATGCGGTCCTCCTCCGCGTCCTCCTCGTCGCGCTTCTTGCGAGCAGCCAGCGCGCGCTCTTCACGGACCTTGGACCTGGGGGGGCGGGGGTGTGTGTAGTTGAGTAGAACAAGAGCAAGCAGTTGGGATAGGTTCGCATGTGAACCGCGAGTACAGGCAAAAACAGAGGGAAAACCTGGGGGGGCGGGTGTGTGTGTGTGTGCGGAAACATGCAACCCATAGGCATGTTCGATAGGTTGGTGTGGGGGAGGTGAGGAGCCACTACTGCTTCGACGTGCGAGTCATCTACCGGTATCGAGTCATCTACCCTACAACACTCACTCCGCCTCCTCCTTAGCTCGCCGCTCCGCCGCTCGCCCCTCCGCCTCCGCCTCCGCCCCGGCCAGCTCGCCAGCTAGGCGGCTGCGCTCAGCCGACCCGCCCTCCGCCACACGCTTAATCCAGGACTGCACGCGAGCTGACGTGGCGAGCGCTAGCGCCGTGTTGCCGTACGCGTTTTTGAAGTTGGTGTGCGCGTTGTGCGTAAGCAGCAGGCCCACTACCTGCGCATGAGGGGGGGGGACGCATGGGCGCATGGGGTTGGGTGGGTATCGTAGATGATGGGGGATGTCGTCATCATGTTATATCCGAGCTCCAGACACACATTTTAACACACACACACACGCACGCGGCCAGTTTTCTTAACACACGCACATGCAGGAACACAAGCTCCCTCCCCACTGCCCCTGACCCCCCCCCACCTGGTCATGTCCCCTGACCTCCCCCCCCCCACCTGGTCATGTCCCCTGACCCCCCCCCACCTGGTCATGTCCCCTGACCCCCCCCCACCTGGTCATGTCCCCTGACCTCCCCCCCCCCCACCTGGTCATGTCCCCTGACCCCCCCCCCACCTGGTCATGTCCCCTGACCCCCCCCCCACCTGGTCATGTCCCCTGACCCCCCCCCACCTGGTCATGTCCCCTGACCCCCCCCACCTGGTCATGTCCCCTGACCCCCCCCCACCTGGTCATGTCCCCTGACCCCCCCCCCACCTGGTCATGTCCCCTGACCCCCCCCCCACCTGGTCATGTCCCCTGCTCGCCGCCACATGCAGCGGCCGGTTGCCCAGCTCCCCCACCGCATCCACGTTGGCGCCCGCCTCCAGCAGCTGCCGAACCATGGGTCCGCTGCCGCTGTAGGCGGCCCAGTGCAGCGCCGTGTCGCCGGAGCGAGTGGTGGCGTGCACGTCGGCGCCCACCTGCGAGTGGGAGGGAGCGGAGGGTTTGGGGGGGGAGAGCAGAGCACTGGCAGGGTTTGGGATAGGGTTTGGGGCTTGAGGAGAGGCCCATGGGCCCCCTTCACCAACACCCATGCAACCTGAGGGCGGACGCTGTCACCTGTCCCGGGCACCGGGCATGTGCGTTGACGGTAGTTTTCGTAACCCCGTCCGCCCGCCCATGCACGCGCACGCACCTGTAACAGGAGCTCCACAATCTGTACGGCACCAGCTTGTACGGCGGCAATCCTGCCAAGGGTTGGTTGGTTGGTTGGGAAAACGTGAGTTGGGAGGAAGCTGGGAGGGCAAGGAAAGCGTTCCGGCAGCCCTAGAAGCTAAGCTATGGGCAGGCGCCAGGAGGCTTGAAAGGAGCAAAGGAAATGGATACGAAGGGAGCATGCGAAACGGAGCGGATCCTTGGAAGTAAACGCGTTCATGTCGTTATTTGATTTCGTCAGTTCAGCTCATTCAGGTCATGGACATGTGGCGGTGTGGTGGCAACGTTTTAGGGAAGGCGAATGGATGGATGGCAGGCACCATCACCTTAAATACTTACAATGGGGTTACGCCTCCTGTTGAGGTTTGCTCAATATCCACTCCTCTATCCAGCGCGGTCTGAAGGAGGGTTGTAAACACATGGAGCAAATAGGGGTTACAAGATGACACCTCCATGCTTTGAAGACACTATCCCCGTGAGACCGCGCATTGCCATCCGCGCAAGCTCTGGGACATGACACTTGCGCGACTTGACTCACCTGAACACTTTCTAAATCATTGTCCTTCACTGCTTGGAAGATATCCACAATTTCATCGTCTGCACGTGAAGGATGGCGACAAGGGCTGAGCTGGCTGGGAATCGAAGGTGACCCAATTCATTAAACATGATCTGCGCATACCATCTCGGGGCAACGAGCTTATAGGCCCCGCGCTCCCAACATCGTAGCGCGACTCCTCAAACTCTTCCTCCATAACAGCACCGTTCGCGTTTCTTTGTTTGTTAAGCTAGGATCTGCTTGGTAATCACCAAGTGTCTGGAACTGAGATGCTTCAAGGAAAGGGGGAAGCTTCGAAGTCGTTACTACTTATCGTGCAAGTAGAGCTGATGACGTGCACTGTTAAGCTTGCATGAGAAAACAACTTTCGAGTCATCGCAACCGACTGCACACTGCAGGAGTGGTCAGCTCGTTACAGTGGGCTCCGAGACTACGCCTCCGAGACCAGTCAGCCAACGACGCTCTTCTTGGTCTACGAGCTGATGCAACACCTTATCGCTTTTATTATAGCAAAGCCTTTTAGCGCAACGTTCCACTGTTAAAGAAGAACATTGTCCTGTGGGCAGTGCCATACAGGCGATACAGCAGCATCCGACAGGTTAAAATTCATAAAGCTGTCCCGTTGTTAGCCCGGGAGGAGTTATCCAATCTAGCTTTCACTGCCTTAGGTCTGACGGCGCCGACCGACGTTTAGGTTGAAAATGCCTCGTCTCGCACTACCAGCGCGTGAATCCGGACATGACCGGCCCGCTGCAACTATTGCGCCATCAATTTTGTCGAGCGATTTTGCTCGGCTAGCGGAGGAGTGCAAGCGCATGGTCGAATTGGGCGCGGACTGGCTGCACGTGGACGTCATGGTGAGTTTCAATGCTTAGCCCAATCAAATTAGGTCGTGCCTTGCTAGCACCACGTCTATGGGCACCGTCCTTTTCCTATGCTTGCGTAGCCGGCGGTTGACGCACCCGCACCCAAAACTCCTCCTGTGCAACCTGTCACGACCTTCCCACCGCTCCTTTCTCCTTCCTCCGCCTCGTCCCCCAAACCCTCCCTCCCATCTCCCACCCACGTCCCCTGCTGCCTCCCATCTCCCGCCTCTCCTCCTCCCCTGTGCTATTTCATTTTTCCTCCCCTGTGCTAGGACGGCCACTTTGTCCCCAACCTCACGCTGGGCGCCCCGGTGGTGGCCGCCCTGCGCCGCCACACGCCAGCCTTCCTGGACTGCCACCTCATGGTGTCGCGACCCGCACAGTGGGTGCAGGTACGGCAGAGGGACCTCCGTACGGGCTGCTTCCCAAATCCCCCAATGACACGCCCGCTTGGCACGTGTGTAAGCACGCACACGGTTTCCCAGTAATACGTACGCCGTTTTCGTTTAGCCGCCAAGTTGTAAATTAACTACCAGCTCACTGCGAACGATATAACAATTCCTTAAGCTGCCTTATGTGTAACTTTACGTATATACGGTTTCCTATGTGGGCACAATGTGCAGGATTTCGCGAAAGCGGGCGCAGATATGTACTGCTTCCATCTGGAGGCAGCTGCAGCCGCTGCGGGTGAAGACGGCAAGGAGTCCCCCGCGCTGAGTCCCTCGGAGCCGCACCCCGCTGTACGGGATCTCTGTACGACAGTACGACAGACGGACATGCACGTGGGCCTGGCTCTGAAACCCGGCACGCCGGTGGATCTGGTGGTGCCGTACGTGCGGGAGGGGCTGGTAGACATGGTGCTGATCATGACTGTGGAGCCGGGTTTCGGAGGGCAGTCGTACATGCCGGGTGCTGCTGACAAGGCGGCGGTGCTGCGGCGGGAGTTCCCGGACTTCAACATCCAGGTGGGAGGAGGAGGGGGAGAGGAGGGGTGGGGAAAGGAGGGGGAAAGGAGGTAGGGATCAAACAACAACACGTTGCTTACCGTACTTCCCCTCTTCAACCTCACCTCCCACCCTTCCATGCCGTCCACCCTTCCCCACTCACTCCCCGCCCTTCCCTCCCCCTTCCAGGTGGACGGTGGGTTGGCCCCCGCCACCATCGCCCATGCAGCCGCCGGCGGGGCCAACGTGATCGTGGCGGGCTCAGCGGTGTTCGGTGCCGCCGACCCGGCTGCAGTGATGAGCCAGCTGAGGGGCGCCGTCACGACAGCAGCCACCAGCAGCAGCAGCCAGCAGTAGAAGAAGGGAGGCTAGCAGGGCTGTAGGCCTGTAGCAGTACGGACGAGCAGTGAACCTCCGTATTATTCGGAGGTACAGTCGCGGCAGTATAGCAGCTAGGGTGTGGCAATTGCAGCAGCAGGGAGGTAAAGAGGAAACAACTAACTGAGGGATAAGGCGCCAGCAGCGTGAGAAGTGAGCCGAGGTGACTTGTGTTGCAGGCCCTGGTCGCAATGTGGGTGGCCTTCTGTTGAGGTGCGGTCTTTTATCACGCCCATGTGGTGCTGTTGCGGAGGTGCATGCTATCGTGGTAGGTGAACGTGAAAGGCGCAAGTACTGCGATGGATACATGGATTGGATGCCCCTTCATAACATATGGCAGCCATGCTGCCCTATATAACATGCGGCTGCCATTGTTAAGGATTAGTATAGTTTGACACTTGGGGACGTGCCACTATGTGGGTCGTCAAGAGGAGTTGGCTCGTTCACCCCGGGTACCGGTAGTCCGGTACCGGTCATGGCGCAAGCCTGTAGATTGTTGGTTTGACTCTTATGTATGTAAAGCGAATGGCAAGCAATACTGGTGCAACTGAGTGGGGTAACGAGATCGTCGATCTTAGCTCCGGTAGAAAAGGGAGCGACTCGATACTGTTTGCAGCTGAAGGTTGTGAGGAGTGAGGCTGTGAGGAGACACCCAACGATGTCATTGGCAGGCGTTTAGGAATATACTAGGTTGATGGATAGGCTAGGTTGCGTACCTTGCGTTACGTGTATGTATGTATGTGTTACAAGCTTCGTACCGAGCTCGTAAGATCCGTCCGAGCCAGAAGGCTCATGGATCGCGAGCACAAAACGCGAAAACAACCAAAAGAAGAAAAGTAAAACAAAAGAGACAACAAACAGAACGCTAATCATATGATAAACCCTGTCTGCGCAATCCTGCGACTTCGCATGCTAGTGATTACGCTAGCAAGCAATGCCTGATTCTCCATGCCCATGACAGCAATCATATCAGCATCCCGTGAGACACCACTTTCCCATATCTTATCACGCAAATCATCGTAAGCGGGACATTCAATGAGGATGTGTTTCTCATCTTCCACTCTCCCCGGCGACCCCTGCACGGCACACATAGGACAGACACGCGCTACTCGTTGCCTACCCCTAGGGCGATTGGCTTCAATGCCCCACACACACAGCCGAAAACGCATCAGGTTCACATGCTGCCGCTGAGTAATGTACCCCCTGTCAACCGGGTCACCCATCCAATTTTTGTACCTGCACATCTTAACTCCAACCCCTGGTACGGGGTCTACTGGGTTGAAAAGCCGCGGGTCATCTTCCAAACTCCTATCCTCCCAATCCGCATCCATTCTATCAGCAAACTTTTTAGTGAGAGCAGACACATTTAGCTCCGTGCCAGCAATACGTTCCACACGCGCATTCAAGTCCAACTCACCCCCCAAGGCCGTCAAATCCGTCCCTAACATTTTCAGAATCTTCAACACCTTAGAACCCCAGCCATCATAATGCTCAGTACTGAGAGCCGAACGAATTTCACCTCGCAACGCCTGGTGGTAGACCGTGTCCTTCTGCTTGACCAGGTCATTCCAAAACCTCAGAAACAGTTCCAGCCAGAAGACATGCAAGGGGCGCTGGTTAAACTCCTTAAACAGCAACTTATCAGGCGAGACTTTCACACCCGCAATCTCCCGAAGAAATTCCCTTTGTAACTGCACCATTGGGTCCCGCAAGGATCTGTCAAAGTACCTCGCGTTACGTAGTTAGAAGCATGTTTGCCCACAGTTTCCGTACCGTGAGTAATAGGCCTGGACGTGCGCGATGAGCGCTTGACAAAAACATCCATCGCTTGCTTTGACCTAGATGTATATCTTTTCGAAAATGAAACGCACATCGCCACTGACTTCGTTTTCCCAAACCTAAAAGAGTCGTCGCAAACCCTTTAAATTGCTAATAGCGCGCACCTCGCCTGGCACTTCCAAAAGATAGGCACACACTTAATTAAAATGCGGTACTGGACAGGAATTGCAATTTTGCTCTGCCTGGTGGCCTGCCGCGGCGGCGATGCGCTGGCGACAGCACGTGACAGCGTCGCCCAGCGACTAGGGGGGCGGAAACAGATCCTCACAACAGTGGCTTCTCCAGGACTGCAAGAGCTGCGCGCAAACAAGACCCTAAAGCTGCCGGAGCCAACGAGCTTTGGTTATCTGGAAGTCAATCCGGAGAAAGGCAGCGAGATGTTCTACATGTACTACGAGGCACAGGAGCCTATTAAAAGTGACAAGCCCACTCCAATTGTCTTGTGGTTGCAGGTGCGAACCCTTGTTTTTGTCGTCCGCGGGGCCTGCAGGTCATGTCCATGCGTCGCTGTTCGAAATTCGACGCTTCCTCACCCGCTTGAAACGCAATACCTTCTCACTGTAGCACATCAACTTATATTAACAGCAACATACGGGGACAAAAACATGTTATGGATTCCATGCAAACCTGACCCCACTTTTTAACCTCACCATGCGACACATCCCTAAAATCCACCATCCTCACAGGGCGGCCCCGGCTGCTCCTCCTTTTTCGGCATGCTTTACATCAACGGCCCATACTTTGTCAACGACGACCTCACGCTGCGCCCCAACCCGGGGTCCTGGAACCGGCTGTACGGCATGTTGTTCATCGAGCAACCCATTGGCGTGGGCTTCAGTCGCCCGGGTAAGGGCAGTCTGTGTTTAGGCAACAGCAACCGCAACCAACCACCAGCGAAGGCTGCACATCACCAGCATAGCTCCCACCATTGTATTGAAAGGCGTTCCACGCACGTTTAGTTGTCTTTCTGGAGAGGAGGAAAGCCCCCTGGTAAACGACGATGCAAGGTCCCTTACCATTCCATTCCCCATACCCCGCTTCCCGCTCTCCCCTCCTTCCCGCTCTCCCCTCCTTCCCGCTCTCCCCATGCTCCAACAATCCACCCCCGCGCAGGCACCGCCTCCATCCCCGACAACGAGCTGGATGTGGCTTGGGACCTTTACCGCGCACTGCAGTCCTTCTACCGCACCCACCCGCAGCTGGCCAGCAGGCCGCTGGTGGTCACGGGGGAGGTGAGGGGCGGCGGGCAGCGGGTGGCGGTGGTGGTGGTGGGGGGTATAACCCGTGTGTAAGACCGTACCGTACCATAGGAAAACACAGGTTAGGGCAAAGCAATAGGGATAGGGGCGGGTGGTTTGGTGGGGGGGGGGGGAACGGAGGAGGAGTGAGGTTTGCAGGGCTACACTGCTCCGTGTATGTGCAACTGCGGCTTCAGCCTGTAACATTCCCTCGCCAACGTAAACTACTCCCTTGTACGGTTCCTCCTCCAAGCCACTTCCCCCTCTCTCCACTCCCCCTTTCCCCACTCCGTCCCTTCTCACCCCTCCAGAGCTATGCGGGCAAGTACGTTCCCTCCATCGCGCACTTCATACTGCAGGTGGGGTGGGGCGAGGGGGAAGGGGGGGGGGGTAATCAGGGAACATCTAACCGACTGTGTGATAAGGCGTCATCACAGGGGCGGGGGGGGGGATAAGTGAAAAGTAAAGCAACTGAAGTCCCAATCCCATAACCCGACTCATGCAGTGTGCGCATTCGGAGACACTATCCTAGGAACACGCAACTCAGAGGGGGGCGAGGGGAGGTGGGCAGGTGGTTTACGCAGGCGGGGTTTTGGGAGGTGAGGCCGTTGTCCTGCCAAATGCCGTGGTTCCTTACCACCGTGCAAACCAGTGCACCCCTCCTCCCCCCTCCCCCCCACCTCCAGGCTGACGCCCGCGCCAACGGCTACGAGGGTCAGCTGTCCCACCCGCGGCAGCTGTCACCCCGCGTGGAGTCCCCGCTGTTCACCCTGGGGGGGCTGGCGGTGGGGAACGGGTTCACAGGTGCGGGAGGTGGTGTTAAAATAACTGGGTGTGTGGGGGGGGGGCGGAAGAGATTCCAACGTGTGGTGTGATAGTGGTACATGCAGCTGACAAGCCCTGGTGGGGGCGGGTGGGGGTGGCGAGGTACGTGCCACCTCTCTACATAGTTCGTGAGCGACCTGTGGGGGCCTGTGGGTGCAATGCTGGTGTCGTTGCTCGCCTGCCATAAACGCATCCTTGCATCCTGTCCCCCCCCAAAGACGCGGAGACCCAGACTGCGGTCCAGGCCGAGGTGGCGTGGGGCATGGGCCTGATTGACTCCACGCAGCGGCGCCAGGCGGAGATCATGCAGGAGCAGATCATTGAGCTGGTAGGGGGCGGGGGGAGGGGGAGGGGGGGGGTGGGGAGGGAGGGGGGGAGGTGGAAAGGAGGAAACAGAGCGAACTGATGGAGAGGGGAGGGAGGGAAGGGGAGCGAGGGGTACCCGCTGATGACATCCCCTGACCCCGGGGGGGCTACCACTCCCGCTGTGGCGTCCGTCTTCTAACGCCCCTCCGGCACCCGCTCTTCCCTCCACTCCTCTCTCCCCACCCCCTTCCCTCCCCTCCTGCTAGGTCCGCTCCCGCGAGTGGCGCGCTGCCCGCATGCGGTCGGACGAGCTGCTTCGCTTCATCGCGGGAGCCAGCGGCAGCGCTACACTGGAGGACGTGAGGCGGTGAGAGGAGGGAGGGAGGGAGGGGGGGAGCCTGGAGGGGGAGAGGAGGGGGGAGAGGAGGGATGAGGAGCCTGGAGGGGGGGCATTGGGGGGCGGAGTAGCCACGACCTGCATGTCTCTCTTCTGTCGTTATGCACCGTGCATGCATCCCCCTGACTGCCCTTCCTCCTTCTCTACCCACAACGCCACACCCCACACCCCCTCCTTGAGCCGGTACCACTACTAGCCCCCCGCCCAGCCTCTCCAATCCCCCGCCATCACCCCAATCCCCCGCGCCAGTTGGTTTCCTCCTCTTTTTATCCCCCCCTCCCGCCCCGCCGCCCCCCAGCAACACCGGCTATGACTCGCGCGACCAGTCCGACGCCTTCCTCAACCAGCCGCACGTACGGCACATGCTGACAGCGGGGGCGGGGGTGCCACCGCCCCGGGAGTACAACTGGAGCAGCTGCGACCCGCAGGTGGGGGGGAGGGTGGGGAGGAAGGGGGAAGGGAACTGTGTATATTAGTGCGCGGCGCCTCCCCCTGATTGTGTCCTTCTCGAAGGGCCTGGACCTATGTCAGGACCTCATCTCCCCGCCCTCCACCTCCCCCCCTCCCCTCCTCCCCCCCCCAATGCAGGTGGACCTGGTGCTGGGTCACGACGTGATGAAATCCGTGAAGCATCTGGTAGCGGACCTGCTCAAGTACAAACCAGTGCTGCTGTACCAGGTAGGGGTGTGTAGTTGAGTAGGACAAGAGCAAGCAATTGGGAGAGGTTCGCAAGTGTGTGTGTGGGGGGGAGGGGGGTACCAAAACCACAGCAAAGCAATGAGGGATAGAGGAAAGCAGTTTACCACGAAACGAATGGGGTCAGGGTTGGCCCAGGTGGGGGGGTTGCACGACATACGAGGCATGTACGACACACCTGCGCAGGACGTGTACGGCGCGAGTCCCTAAACACCTCCCCTGCTCACTCTTCCTTTTCTCACTCCTGCCAACCTTTTTGTAACAATGCTAAATACGGTCAGCTGCTTGTACGAGCAAAATGAGCAACAGGGCGCAAACCGCATGACCCGCTCATCCACCATGTAATATTGGCATTCTCCACACCCTCTCATTCCCTCACCCCTCACCCTTCCCCGCCTCCAGGGTCAGTGGGATGCGGAGTGCGGGGTGGGCTCCAACGACGCCTGGATCCGCACCCTGAAGTGGGCGGGGCATGGGGGCTTCACCGCGGCCCCCAGGAGGTGAGAGGAGGGGGGGCGGTTGGTGGGGCGGGTGGGGGCTCGTCTGTGTGCTGGCTGACGCTTGTGTGCTGTCGTTGTCCACTTGTAGTGCCGACCCCTCCTGTCGCCCTGCGTTCCTCCCACTCTTCACTCCCTCTTCCCCCCTTCTACGCCCCCCCCCTCCCCCCTCCCCCCCTTCCGCCCCCCCCTCAGCTTCTGGCGGGTCAACGGCCGCATCGCTGGCTACTGGAAGAGCCACGACACGCTGGACGTGCTCGTGCTGCGCAACACCGGACACATGGTGCCGCATGATAACCCCCTGGTACGGCACCGGCATCTGCCATATACCCCGTATGTGGCTGTTGTGTCCTACAGCCGAGTGTGTGGAACGACCCATGGGTCGGGGTCACTGCACATACACCTGTTACACATGGATGCATGGATGCATGCATCTTTTGGGCTTGCGTTGTAAGATGGTTAGGTTAGCGCTACCTCACCCCGGCAGGCAGCGGTTAGGTTAGCGCTATGACCGGCTGGCTGGCAGGCTGGCTTCGCAGCCTCACGTCCGCTACATCCCGCCCACTCCTCCCCCCCCTCCCTACCCTCCCCCCCACCCTAACCCTCCCCCAAACCCCCTCCCATCAGATCGGCCAGTTGATGTTGGAGCGGTGGGTGGAGACGGCGGTACGAGGGCTGTCGTACGATCGGGATGCGCACGTGACTCCGCAGCAAGAGGCGGAGTACGGCAACCCGGATGTGGGGGAGCACTCGACATGAGGGGGGGTGGAAATTTTTATAATAAATGCAAACAACTAGAGTCCCAATCCCATATCCCGACATGAGGGTGGGTGGGGGGAAAGTTTGGGAGGTACCCGATATGTGGTGGAAATGGAGACTGGGGCTCTTGTGTTATCAAGGGGAATCAGGGGCTGTTTTGTGTGTGTATGGGAGGAGGAGGAGTGGGAGCAGGGGACGTGAATGGGTCAGGTGTGAGGAAGGCGGTGTAGCGGAACGATGGGAGGTGGGGAGGGGGAGGTCCGGCGGGGAAACGCGGATGGAAAGAGGGATGGTCTTGGATGTTGGGGTGTAAAGTTTTGTTTTACATGGCTTGTGGGGTACCTGTTGTTGTTGTTGTATGATAAGGGGAAACGAGGGGCGGATGGGGTGAGGCTGGGGGCCGAATGCAGCCCAACTGCGGAGTAATATGAACGTTTTGTGTGGTATGACTGAGAGGAGGGTGGGGAGCGGTTAGTAGGGGAAGTGCAGAGGAGGAGCATGCGCGGTTTTGGCGCGGTGTTGTGCGAGGGGAGAGAGAGCAGCAGAGGAAGAGAGAAGAATTACTTCAACAGGAGTCAAGAGAAGATTGCGAACAAGGTTGAAGGGGAAAACAACGCATTTGCAAGAAGGGCAATAAGGAGAGGAGAGCGGCGTGTGTGATATTCTTTTCGCTTGCTGGCTAGATCTAAGGAAGTTTTGCTGAAGGGTGCATTATGCCCCCCCTTCCATACACAATTGTTTTGCATGTTGCCGTTGAGTTGTCGTTGCTGACGCCATTGCTTCTCAATCGCCCCAAGTGTGCGGGGCTCTGATCGCTTGGGGTTTACGACATAGTATCGGTACGTGTTTGGGCAGCCACAAACACTTGCGTCGTAGCTTGTTTGACTGGCCCGAGCAACCTTTGGGTGCGCTTAACGGCTTTACATCTACGCGTCACTGCATGCGTGTCGGGGCGCACATTTTGGCAGGGCAGGGTATGTGTTGGCAGGTAGTGGAGGAGGTGGGACAGAGGTGGAGAACAATGCGGCTAGGGTTTCCGTACATGTACGTGTGTACAGCAGCAGTTGGTGTGCCGCATTCAGTGTTCCTGTTTACCATTTCCCGTGTATTTGCGTGTGCATGAGTGCATGTGTGTGTGTGTGCATGTGTTTCGCGGGCCATCTCAATTCACTGATATGCATGGGTGAAGCCTGTTGTAGCACGGTGCTTACCGCGTGCAAGTGCTGGTACCCTTCCTGCCGTTTCTGGCACACACATATCAGACATAAGGCACGGGTTTTGTTTTGTGAGCAAGAGAGCGTCGCTGGATGCGGATGAAACGATATTGGGTTTTACGGGTCCATGTTGCGGTGGTGTAACTAAAGCATTAAGCAGCCACCGTACATTGGCATGGCATTGTACGGCTTTGTAAGGGCTGCCGTTAACCTGGTAAACTACGGAAGGCGCAGTTGGACGTCCCTCTTGAAGCCGCCAACGCAAGAGCTTTTCTGGGGCGATTCATTTTGTGGTTCATGGGGGGCGTGCGGCTCCAACTTATCAGCTACACACACATACACTTTGTATATTGCAACCAAGCTAAGGCAAGGCCTTTAAGCAGGCACGCACACTGAAATTAATTTGGAATCTAGGCAAGGCGCCAGCAGGGACAGCGGTGGGTGTTAAGAGCTGGGGGAGCCTGCCTTTGACCTGCAGACAGCGGGCGTACATACCCGGTTGTACGGCACAGGTTCGAGGGCTCCGAATGTCCACAATATTCCTATTTATGAGCGCCGTGTCGTTATTTTGCCTCCCATGAGGCCGTAATGGGCGTCCTTGTTCCCACCAGAAGAAGCGCTGTGCGAATGAGCTAGACGAACCCCATTAAAAGGCAGATACCAGGAGGACGCGACGAGACAATGCAATTTCTAACATCACTATCTGCCTGCAAGCCAAGTAGCTTTGGAGGTACGGTGCGGTGCAAGCGTTCCGGAAGGTTTGGATGGCTTGCACGCATGCTTGCGCGAGCAAGATGCGACAGCGGAACAGTGAAGAGCACAACCATAATTGTCATGTAGGTTCCGCAATTACTGTAAAGCATGCATGGTGCGTCTCGCGCAACTGATCAACGTCAACGTGCAGTCAAAGTGCTTTCCAATTATCACATTTGCTAAGCCTTGTAACATAGAAATGGCTTCTTCGTTTGACAGGAGGCACTTCGGCATCCCTTAGTTCAGACTTGGACCTCCAAGACGGTGAAGGCGATGAACTGGACGAGAATGGCGCCCGCATCATGTCACGCCGCATGGTGCAGCGCGTGTGCCGCGCACGTGGGCTTTACCTTACTCCATCCTGCAACACAGCCCTATACCTGCAGGACTTGAAATTCCTTCGTATTGAAAACCTCGAGGTGAGCCTCCGTACTGTACTGCGTTCAGTACAACACTTATCCTTCACGGCCGGGCCTGCCTAGTACGGCTTCATCCACTAGCCGAGGACGTTTCCTGTATTTTCCTTCTTACCATCACCAGATGTATGTGGCGCCATGTGATTGCTCCTCCGCTACGCTTACGCTACTTCCTCAAGCAGTGAGGTGAATGCTCGCCGCACGGATAGAGTAACGTCACACTAAGACCGACTCCCTCCATCCCTCCGCCCCCCGCCCCGCACCCAGGACTACACCTCCTGTCGTGTGCTGCACCTCTCCAACAACTGCCTGACCAGCATCCAGGGACTGGACCACATGACCGCCCTGCAGGTACGGCAGGGGGGCGGGGGGGTGCATGCCTGTGCATCCCTTCACATGCTCGTACGACACATCCCAAACCATCCAGCTCCTCCCACCGCCTCCCCTCCCCCTTTCCTCCCCTTTTCATTTTCGCAACACCCCCCCATGGTGAAGCCTACATGTCATACAGCTCGTCAGCTTCTCCCCCCTCCCTCTTTCCATCCCCTCCCCCCAGGCGCTCTACCTGCAGTCCAACGACCTGCGCTCCCTGTCCGGCCTCTCCGCCCTGCCCCGCCTGCACACCCTGCACGTCAGCGGCAACCCGCTGGGCAGCCTGGCGGGCGGTCTGCCGCCCTCGCTGCGCTGCCTGCATGCGGCTAACACGGGTGTGTGTTAAGAAAACTGGCCGCGAGTAGGAACGCGAGTAGGAACGCGAGTAGGAACGGGTGTGTGTGTGTGTGAGGGGTTGCCTTGGGTGCCATGAGTGCGGTAGCATGGCAGGGGGGCGCAAGGGAAACACGGGCCTTGGGAGGCTGGGGGAACACGGGCCATGGGAGGCAAGGGAAACACGGGCCATGGGCGCGCATGGGGACGAGGTTGAGGCCCGCTCGCGTCTGCGGCCCCTTCCTTCATGGTCCCCTTCCTTCCGCCTCACCCCACCCCTCTCACTCCCCCTTCCTCCTCCTTCCCCCTCTCCACCCCGCACTGCAGGTCTGCGCTGCCCCTCCTCCTCCCTGGCGCTGCTGCCCCGCTGCTGTCCGGGGCTGGAACTGCTGGATGTGTCGGGCAACACGGGGCTAGGGCTGGAGGGGGGGAGCATGGAGGGGGGGAGCAGCAGCGGGGCAGGGGAGGGCATGGAGGTGAGGGAGAGCGGGGGGCAGATGGCTCCCGGTGGCGGGGATGCCGGGCAGCAGCAGCAGCCACCGCAGCCACCACAGCAGCCACAGCAGGAGGAGCAGCCACAGCAGCAGGAGCAGCAGGCGGCTGTGAGCGCAGCTATGAAGGAGGGTGATGGCGGTGGCGATGAACCTGCTGACGGCCGTGCGGGTGGTGGTGGGTGTGTGGTGGCTGCCGCGGTGGCGGCGCTGCGGGGTCTGCCGGAGCTGCGAGTGCTGTACTGCAGCAACACGCCGCTGCAGCGGGTGAGGGAGGGGGGGAGGGAGGCGAGGGGGGGGGGTAGTGGGGGGTGGGTGGGAGCGCTGGGGGGGAGGCTGGGGTTGCAGCTGGTGAGGACGCACAGGGCAGGGCTAGCGCACCCACTGTTGCTGCCGTACCACGCTGCCACACGCTGTGTATCAGCCGTGGGGACCTCCACTCCAGCCATGGCCCTTTCCTAACACCCCTCCCCCGCATCCCCTCCCCCCTTCCCCTCCCCCCTCCCCTTCCCCACACCTCCCGCTGCAGGTCCCCAACCTGCGGCGGCTGCTGGTGTGCTCGCTGCCCCGGCTGAGCTACCTGGACGAGGCGCCGGTGGAGGAGTGCGACAGGCGGGGTTGCGAGGCGTGGAGCAGGGGAGGTGAGGGCGGCCATCCCGCCCCAAACGGGGGCGTGTACAAATGAGGAAACTGAGAAACTGTATGACGGGGCTTCACCAGGGGGCGGGGGGCTCCTGGACCCCGGTTTCCCACTGCAACCGTTCTATATTAACTTCTATAGGCAGCGAGGCAACGATGCAACCCAGCCACCTAACTTTTGGATCAGTTGAACCCAACCCAGTTGGAAGCCTCATTCACCTTCAAAAACACACGCCTTCTCACCTCTTCTTCTTCCCACCCCACCTCACCCCCAAAGGTGTTGCCGCCGAGCGCTCCGCCCGCCTCGCCTACCGAGCCCAGCAGCGAGCAGCCGCCAAAGGCCGCACTGCCGCATTCGCAGCGGAGCGAGCGGCACGACGGCGGGGGGGGGCGGCGGCGACGGCTGGCGGCGGCGGTGGCGGTGGCGGCATGTACGGCACCACCACGCTGGCGGCGGAGGAGGTGCAGCGGCTGCCGCTGGTGCCGTACAGCCCGGGGGCGGTACATGGGGAGGGTGGCGGGGGCTGGGGCGGCGGGAGAGGCGTAGGGCAGGTAGGTAGGGAGGGGGTGGTGGTTGCGGTGGCGTCGTGCGAGGACGAGGGGCCAGGAGTCCCCTGCGGAGGGGCGGTCGTAGATAATGCTGCTGAGGCTGAGGAGGAGGAGGTTGAGGCTGAGGAGGAGGAGGCTGATGCTGAGGAGGCTGAGGCTGAGGCTGCTGGTGGGGTCAGGACTCCTGCCGGACCATTTGGTAGCGGGTGTTGCTGCTCGCCAACACCAGCCGCATCACCGTCGTTATCATCATCATCATCAGCAGCAGCAGCAGCGACCGCAGCAGCAACAACAGCAGCAGCAGTGCTGCCAATACCATCACCATTACCTCCCTCGCCGCCACCAGCGGGGGCGATCATGGAGGCGGGTAGCAGCGGCGGCGGTTACGCTGCTGCTGCTGGTTCTGCTGCTGCTGATGATGATGGCGGCAGAGGCAGGAGGTCGCCAGCAGCAGCACCGGTAGACCCAGGATCAGCAGCAGCAGCACCGGCAGCAGCAGCCGACCCGGAGCTGGGCCTTATGAGCGGGGGGGCTGCTGGTATGGGTATGGGCGAGTGCTGTGTTGTGTGCAGCGAGGGGTTCAGGGCGGGGGAGCTGCTGGTGCTGCTGCCGCCCTGCGGACATAGCTTCCACCCGGGGTGAGGGGGGGAGGGAGGGAGGGAGGGAGGGAGGGAGGGAGGGAGGGGGGCGTTTCCCTTGTACATGTGGGAGGTAGGAGAGAGGTACAGATGGTTGGCCTTTCACCTATGAGGGCAGACGGCTGCTCTCCACACACGTGAACCCCCCTAGACGCCTCTCTTGCTCCTTGTCTCTCTCCTTTCCCCTGTTCCCTTTCGTCTCCTTCCTCTCCATCTCATTGGCATCCCCAGCCGCCGCTACATGATCGGGCTCACACCGGATCCCCGACCCCACCCTCTACCCTACCTCCTCCCCTAGCATCCCCCCCCCAAAACACAGCATAACTCCACTACCCACCCACCCACCCCCGCCAGGTGTATCCGCCGCTGGCTGCTCGAGTTCAGCAACTCCTGCCCCGTGTGCCGAACACCCGTCAGGGTCCCCGAGGGGAGCCAGCAAGCAGCGGCAGCGGCAGGGGCGGGGGAGGAGGCAGCAGCAGCTGAGGCAGCAGCGGTGGGGCAAGCAGTAGCAGTAGCAGATGCGGCGGCGGCAGTGCAACCCGACGCACAGCCGACGCCGCAGCCACCAGCTTTGGTGCCAGCAGCTGAGGCAGCAACCCAGAGCCTGAACAAGCTGATCGATGACCCACGGGTCACTGTTAACAGTCCCATGGACCCGCGCCCGGCGGAGCGAAGCAGCATAGAGCCCCCCTCCTCAACGATGGACGGTACGGCGGTACGACAAGTACCCGGCAGTACGACCATCGGCAGCCCTTCTTCTCCGAAGCACCGAGACGGGGGGAGTTCCGCCGGCCCCGCATGCAGCACTACTGCTAGCGGCTACAACCGGACCTCCAGCTGCGGCTCCAGCTCCGGCCCGCAGCAGCAGCAGCAGCAGGCAGCCTCACCGCAGCTGTGGCCTCAGCTTCCTGGGAAGGTCAGGGAGGTGCAGGAGGAGGAGGAGGAGTATGAGGAGGGGTGTTGGGAGCTGCCGGGGGGTGCACGGGTGGCGGCATTGCCGTATCTGTGAGGGAGCGGGTGTGTGGGCATGTGTTGTGTTGTGTTACACGGACACGTACCTGGCCCCGCTAATTGGGATGCGGATTGCATGTCTCCGCACATCTCTAGGGCAGGCAGGGCTGCGGGGGGTAAGGAGGGGTTGCGCGGAGTAAGGAAGGGCTGCGGGGGACGCTCTGAAGGAAGAGCAGCGTGCTCGTGCATTGGGAGTCCGCCCATCATTCATTCGTCAGCAGCGGGGAGTTGCGAGGTGTGTAACGAGCGGGCTACAGAAGTGCCATAAGTGTGTGTGATTCGGCTTTTTGCATTGTGTATCACAAGTTGGGATTTTGTTGTGTCGAGATATATTGGAAGTAAGTGGTATACATGATCTATGTTGCATGCAGGTGCGAAGTGTGGAGGATAACGGAATCATCACAGATCAATGGTTTGCGTTACAACAGACGCTCTTCCGTCGATACAACTGTCTAGGCGTATCTTTTTAGAGACAGGTCCGTTGACGTTGGATACGCAACAGCGGTCAACACAACCGTCTCAACCCGCAACGGTTATATACTTACTAATGCCTGAGCTATCCAAAATTGTCATGTACCTACACCTATATCCCTACCTCCCCTCATGCCCTGCCCCATGCACAGCACATAATATCCCTCGCAACTGCATACATACATGCATGCATACCAGCATATACCTCCGTTCCCGTCCATATCATCAACCTTCTCCGCAACCCCAAACCTTTACCAACCGGGCTAACCGCTGTACCAAGCTATTAACTGCATCTGTTGCGAACTCTAGGTGAAGGTTCTGAAAGTTGAAACAAGCAAACCAACAGACGGGTGGCCAACTCTCCTCCCTCAAGACCCTCACAGCAGCTCTGCATGGCAAATCAACCTAACGCGTCATCGTCAACTCATCCCATTCGCATTAGCATCCATTGCATGCCAAGCACGAGCCGCCGCCATCACCGCCGGCCTCCTTCCCACCGCCTGCTGCCGTCCTGCTTCCTCCCCTTCACTTGCGGTGGCGGCGGCGACCCATCTCCTCCTCGCTGCTGTACAGCACACGGAAGGGGCGGGCGTACCACTCGATGTTGGCGTCCTTGGCGCACCTGCGGGTAAGGAGTACGGCATGCAAAGGCGCCGGTCAGTACAGCATGCAGAAGAGCGGGTACGGCAGTTGCTACTTCCCCAGTCCTTCAACTCCCATTGCTGTTCCACGATCCACAACACCTCTCCTCCTCCTCACCCATACCACGGGGAGTACTGTCTCCAACTCACCCTCCCATCCCCACCCACACTCCCCCATTTATATCAACTCGTCCCGCCAGCAGCCACGCCCTCCCCCCAATCACGACACTCACTCGCGCAGTCCCTTGAAGTGCTTGCTGGTGATGTGGTCCATGTAGTCGTCCAGCGACTCCCAGGCGCCGCGCAGCACGTAGTGGTGGTTCAGGGTGGCAACCTTGCGGAGGCTGGCGGGGGTTAGGAGCGAGCGAGGGGAGGGGGAGGGTTAAGGTGGAAACAGGGATGGAACAAGAACGCAGCATGGGATACGAAGGCAAACACACAACAAGCGACGAGACATGTAAAGACACACAGCGGTGACGTCCGCACGGGGCACATGGCAACAATGCCGTAATTGATTGCTTCGCTTATAATAGATGGTAAACATGCGCACGTGCATGGATGCAACATCAAAAGCCATGAAGCGGCGACAGGTCCTACCTCCGTCCTCCTTGCTTCGGGTAAGAAAGCTTGCAACTCCCGCCCCAGTAGTCAAACCCCATGGTCACCCGCAAATAATCCATTCCCCTTCACTGCTTCATGTATCACGTAACCCCGTGGTACCCATCCACCCACTCCCCACCACCCATGCGGCACTCACACGTAGAAGCGGTTGTTGTCCTCGTCCTTCACCACACGCTCCTGGATGTTCTCCAGAGCATCCTCGAACTCCTCGCGCTGCATGCATGGGGCGGGAGGAGGGTGGGGGGCAGCGACAGGGAGTTATGACGGGGCAAGACAGTGGGTGGTAAGGAGCATTCTACATCACCTAGATGTTTCCGGTTGGGAGCAAGGCCCAGTGCTAAAACCCATGTGACATATATCCTTCAGGGAGGCGACCCGCGCGTCAAGGTCCTTCTCCTTTCCCCACCCAACCTTTTACTCCCCTCTCCCTGCCTACCATCGAGGGCGGCACATGGAAGTGGAAGGCCACATGCGCCGGCTCCTCGCGCGGGTCGAACTCGCCCTTGCCACCGCGGCGGCCCCGGCGGCGCTGCAGGTCCTCACCCTCGCGGGTCATGCGGTACTCCTGCGGAGGGGGAAGGGGAGTGATGGGGAAGGGGGGGGGAGGGGGGCGCTTGGCAAAGGAATAGACGTGTGTATAGGCCTGTCTAAGCATGTGGGAGAGAACTAGTTTGGTATCGCACTTCTTAACGTCCCGGGGTGCCTGTGGCTGGGGTATTGTAGCCGCCTACTACAGCGAGGAGAACCGAGCGACCCAGGGGTCATGTGACCCCTCCCGCCCCACCACCCTACGTACCCTCTTGGTGTCTCCAGCGGTCATGAGCGGGAAGCACTCCGTCAGGATGTCGTTGTCGTTCACAAAGTCCATGAACTCCTGGATGTCACGGGTCCTGGGGGCGGGGGTGTGGTGGTGGGGTGGAGTAGGAAGGGCGAGGCGGGAGGAGGAGGGTGGGGCTGCTAGGGAACGGTGGGTGATACGGTACGTACGCGCGAAGGGCTTACCTGCTACGCAGCAGGCATGTCTGGCTATGGCCCGGGCTCCAGTGGGGCTGATGGAGCCCCCACCGGACTACGACGGACTACGACCCTTCACCCTAATAACACCTGCCCCAACCCCAGCTGAACCCTCACAGCATGCGAGGCAGCCCATCCCAGCAGCACGCCAGCAATGCTGCAGCATACATGCATCTACGTGGAACCCGGCATGCTCGCACCCCCAGACCTTCTCCCCTGCCCGGCCCCCCCTCCCGTCTCACTGCAGGTGGTCGGCCAGGTCCCGGAAGGAGTCCCACTCAGTGTACGACCAGAAGTCGGTGTTGTCGACGGCGGTCTTGGTCAGCTGGAAGAAGTTGAGGCCGGAGGCGTCCTCGTACGATTTGGCGACGGTTTCCCTGGGTGTTGTTTATTTGGAATGGGGTACAGCACAAGGAACTGGGTGCAAGTACAGAATACAAGCAACCGTGCTCTGCTAAACATGGAATGATTCCGAAGGGGACCTGGATTAGGCCCTTCTGCCCTTTCTTAGCAGCAGCCCA